TAAGCAAGCAACTTACTGTTTAACAAAGTTATGTGATGCATGTAATTTGGCTATGCTTAACCAATTTGAATTAACTTTTTTTCTAGCAACATCTTTAGATGCTACTAACCAAAAGTGCCTCATGATTAGTGAAAAACACTAATTTTTATCGTACATACACGATAAAAATTTTAAATGCAAATACATATTTATTGGAATGTGGTATCAAAGTGGCCCATATGATTCTCACCTTCATGCCCTTTTGTAATCTCTCCCACATTGAATAGGACTAATCAACCTATGTAACTAAAAGAATATTGTGGGGTCCAAGGCTAGGTTATAAAAGGCTAGGTTCAGGCCGTGGCCCAGTAGCTCAGTTGGTTAGAGCATCCTCCCGATACACCAAGGTTGCAGGTTTGATCCCTGGTTAGGGTACTTACAAATATCAACCAATGAATACATAAATACGTGGGAAAACAAATCAATGTTTTTCTCTCCCTAAAATCAATGAAAGAAAAGACATTGCAGCTTCGCCCATATGCTCTTGTCTCTCTCACACTGTGGGAAACCAGCTGCCTTGTCATGGAGACACTTAAGCAGCTCTGTGGATAGGTTCATTAACATGCCAGCTCTATGAGACATCTGGCAGAGGATCCTCCAGCCTCTGGCAAGTCTTCAGATGCCTGCAGGACTGGCTAACTTCAACCTTTTGAGGGAACCCAACCTAGAACCATCCAGCTCCAAAATTCCTGACCCACAAAAACTGTGTGAAATAATGTTTATATTGTAAGTAGATAAGTTTTGGAGTAATTTGTTACATAAAAATAAATAATTCATAGAAATTTAATGTAAGGGACAATTTAAATAAATACACACACAATACTAAATCTCTATCCCTCTCCTTTCCACTCTGTAATAAATAAATAAATAAATAAATAAATAAATACACACAAAATAGAAATTTTGAACATACACTTCCATTCTTCTTAAGTTAGCTTTGTTAACTTCCAAGGTACATGTATAACCTCACAAAAATGAAGTCAGCTAAAATGGGAAGAAAACATTGAGATTAGTTTGAGTATTGAATGACATTTAAGTTTTTTCTATGCTCTCCCATTCCGAGAAAATTAAAGAATTACAAGAGCTGTAGTTTATCCCATCTTTTTGCTATTAGAAGTTTTAGAGGTAGAAGAACCATCATGTGGTGCAGGTCTACTAGGTCACCAGCTTAATTATCAACAGGTAAATGCAATCTTTGAATCTCTTCTTAAGGTAAATTAATATCCAACATGGTGTTCATACTTTTTATTATATTCTGATTTTTTAATTGGTAACCTCTATAAAATACTTACTTTTCTGTTACCCTGATTACTAAAATATTTCATTAATCTTTCCTCTGATCTGTCAAGACAGCAGAGTTGATTCCATCTGGACTTAAAGAACACTCGAGACTACACTTAAAAATTTTTTATTTATTCTGCCAAAACCGGTTTGGCTCAGTGGAGAGCATCGGCCTGTGGACTGGAAGGTCCTGGGTTCGATTCCGGTCAAGGGCATGTACCTAGGTTTGCGGGCACATACTCAGTGGGAGGTGTACAGGAGGCAGCTGATCGATGATTCTCTCTCATCAATATTTATAAATCTCTATCCCTCTCCTTTCCTCTCTGTAAACAAAAAAAACAAAAAACAAAAATTTTTATCCTAAAAATCACAGCTACCAAGATGTTAACCCTCCTCCGTAAACCAGAGTCCTTTCTGCTTAAAAGAGCTTTAAATTTTCTATGGAGAATTTTGCTCTATACTGAATGAATAGTGAATGGTTAAGTGTCCAGTGTGGTTTTGTTCACACAAAAAGGGGGTGGTACAAATGCCTCACACAACAAAAACTTCATATGCAAAAATTCTAACATATGAATCAGAATGTTTATGTAAATTTTGAAACAACCATACTCCAAACTAGCCAAACTTTCTGGTGCAAGGGCGGTCTTAGGAGGAAGTAGCATGATTTAATAAGGTCTTGTTCTTTTGTGTTATTTTTCCATTTTTTTTTCAACTTGTGGCCTAGGTCCATGTGCTTCACATAGTTAAGCTAGAACTATGCTTACAGTACCCAGTTCTTTTGTTCTGTTCTAGCTTCTCATTCCTCAGTGATAGAAACCCAGGAATCGTTCCTGCTTTCTCCTTCAGATTGACATCAGCATCCTCCAATCTAACCCACACCAAGTCCTGTGACTGTACCTAATATTTCCATATTCTCTAACACCATGCTAGACCATGTTGTTTCTTGCTTGACTACCCTAATTGCCTCCAAATTGGAAGTGATCTTTTTTATTTAATATATTTTTAATTGATTACTAGAGCAAGAGAGAAGTAACATCGATGAGAGAGAACCATCATCTACTGGCAGCCTCCTGCATAGCCCTTACTAGAGATGGGGCTCACAACCTGGGCATGCGCCCCGACCGGGGATCAAACCAGTGACCTCTTGGCTCCTGAGTCCCTCTTGGTTTCTGGGTCAATGCTCAACCACTGAGCCACACCAGCCAAGCTGAAAATGATCTTTTTATATATATTCAAATTATATTTTATTGATTTCGGAGAGGGAGGGTGAGGGAGAAAAAGAAACACCAATAATGAGAATCACTGATTGGCTGCCAGTTGAGCTGAAAATGATCTTTTTAAAATGAAAGAGAGATATTTTAAAATTGAAAATCTGATCACAAAGGAAGATGGGGGTGGGTGAGTGGGTGGGAAGAGATGAACCAAAGAACTTATATGCATAACCCATGGACACAGACAATAAATAGTGTGGTGAAGGCCTGGGGCAAGGGAGGAGGGTGTGGGCTAGAAGAGGTCAAAAGAGAAAAAAAGGAGACATAGGTAATATTTTTAATAGCAAAGATAATAATTTTAAAAATCCTGATCATGTTCCATATATAGTTTCCCTTTGCCTTAGGAAAAAAAAAGTCTTAATTTTGCCTACAAGGCCTTCATGATCTGTCCTTTTCCATATCTATCTGGCACTGGTTTTTTTTCTGTTTTTTTGTTTTTTCCCCTCTTCTCTCTCATGGTTCTCATCTTATAAAGTCCGGTCAGGTAGCAGTTTAAATTAGTGCCATTTTGCTAGGTATCTGCCTTTTGCCCCTCTAAAATCTCCATCATTTCCCGTGCCCTGAGATTCTAATCCTCATGGAGTGCATCATGCATCAGTGGGGAATTTCAAAAGAGATCCGTAGAGTAGGATTGTAAGGTCCCGTGTTTATTCCCCCAGCTTCCACTCTTCCATTAGTTGGCTGTTTCTCTACCAAAGGCCATGGCTCCTGTCAGGCAATCCTCTCCATAGCGCTCTCTCCTGGGGGCTCAGAGAACTTCATCCCCATGCGCCTGGAGAATGCATTAGCCCTTACAGTTTCACTCTTGACGACACCTTTGTAAGCAGACTCCTTATTAAATTCTCTTCACCTTCCAGCACAACACTGACACAATGACCTACAATGACACACATACATTTCATATACGGCATCTATGTAAATACACATACATGCAAGTAACCGAAAAAGTTTTATAAAACCATTTACCTGCAACATTTGTGATACATTCTGATATTTTTTATTCTATTGCATGTGCCTTAGATCCGGATTATAATCATGATCTAATGGGTGATGGATCACCTGCAGTTTGAAAAATGCCTTGACTGATACTTTTGCAAGTGACACCTTCCCTCACTCATCCATCAGGCTGGATCTCCATTCCTCTGTGCAAGCACGGACTGACTGCAGGGCTCTCTTCACACTTTGTAATGTGTATTTCCGTTTCCCCCATTAGACTGTTAAGTTCCATGAGATCAGGAACCTTGACATGGATGCTCACGATTGTATCCTAAGTTCCAGGCACTATGTTCAATAAATATTTTTAGAATGAATGAACAAAGGAATCAAACTCACAATGCGTTAAATTCCTCCGAGGAACTTAATGCTAGAATTGTTAGCATATTCTATAATAGTGGGCTTTCTAGTATATTTCTAGGATACAGGAAATTAGATGGGGGGGATAGGCTATAAACTCTATCCTGATGCATGTATAAGGATCTGACTTGAAATATGATGGATATACATCTATTACACAAAACTCTGGAGTCACCTTTTATTCTTTCTCGCTCATTCCTTATCCATGTCAGCGTTACATTTAAAATGTACCCAGGCTATAGTTTGTTCCCCCTACCAGGAAGTAAACCCTTATGAGGGCAGATTTCTGTTGTATGGTTTATTGCAATGTCCTCTGAGCCAAAAAAAAAAAGCTTGGTACACGAGAGTCATTCAATAAACGGTTCGATCAATGAATGGGCCCAAAGGGAAACCCAAACAAATGTGCGATAACTAGGAAACGTAAATCTCCGACGTCCATTAATCTATATCATATAATTCCTGACGACCTATCACAGGGCAGCTGAGTGAGTTCTCCCTAAAAAAGGAATAAGGCCTTTTTTAAACGACGGTCCTCCTTACCCTCGGGGACAAAAGCAAAGGATGGAGGTAAGAGCTTCAGTCATTTCTGGAAAGAGAGGAAGGAGTACAGAGGAAGGAGGAAGGGGGGGGACGGGGAAGGTAAAGAGAAGAGCTCCCCCCTTGGTGCGACCGGCCTTTCTCTTCTAGGCTGGGGTCGGAGGCTCCGCTCGCCCCGCTCCTGTGCGGTAAGAGCGAAAGACACCCCCGCGTACGGGAATCAAACCTGAGGTCCCCGAAGCCGGGGTGATGTCCTCGGGCAGGCCTCGCTCTTCCCACCGACCGCACCCGACCACGCACGCGCCAAACCCAGATGTTTCTATGGCAACGCCGGGCTTTATGGAGGAGCGTTGGTTCTCCTCCTTTTGCTGGCTACCGCTCTGCCTCCCTCTGTTCCAATATAATACACGCGGCAGCTTACAAAGATGACATTACTCATGGACAGAATTTGTAAGAGTGCTTCTGAACGTGGCTTGTTTTTAGTCAGAAAACCATTTCCCCGATGTGTGTTTTCTTTAGGCGGTTGAGGGAGATGCCTAAACTGGGGGCGGGGCGGAGAGGTGTTTCTCCCACAAGGCCACGCGGCGGGGCCTTGCTTTCCCTTTTCCGCCATCTTGGACCCTGCGGAGGTGAGCGGGAGCGCCGCTGCTGCTGAACTTTAGGGGTAAATAACTGGAGTGGGTCCCACCACGTCTTTCGGAGAGGCACTGCTGGGGCACGGAGGCTCTGCCAGGCATTGGTTTGGATGGGTCCCAGCAGCAGGGAGGACAGGATGGAGGAGATGTGGGACGGATGGCGCTGGTCCCCTGACGCCCGGGAAACGGGTGCTCCCCTAGTCTGAGAGTTGCTTCCTGGTCCCGTCCCAAAGGAATCAGAGGCACTTTTATCGTCTGCATTTACCTTATTGAGACAGCGGCAGCTTTTGGCGGGGTTCTTGGCATTTGCTTCCCCTGCAAACCTGGCTTTGTCTATAATCTCTCGTTCTTGGGTTTTCTTTCCCATTCATTGCTTAAGAGTCTTGTTTGCTCCGTGCTTCTCTTTCTTGATCTTTATTTTCGTAGTGAACATGACATGAGTTTTCTTAGGACTTCCTTTAGGAGTTTTCTAGGGGTTATAAGTCTTGCAACTTTGGTTTTGGAGTTTACTTAGTTATCGGGCATTGCCTGACGTTGGAGTGTCTTGCCAGACTGCGCTTCATGTACTTGTTTCAGCGTCGTGACGTCTCCCCATGCTCTGAACGGGAAATGCAAACAGGTTTAAGAAACAAGCAGGGACTAGGTGGGGAACGTGGCGTTGCAAGAATTTTTAAACTGATTCTTTTTGTTTAAGGCCTGCTGGGAACAGGACTTCTATAAGGACAAATATGTCTGGAAGGTATGTATTTTTAATATAATTGCTTTGTTCTTGTAGTTTTTTGTTTATTAGGCCTGTAGCTAACTAAAGGCGAACTCGAAACGTGTGTGTGTGTGGGGAATTACAGGTCAAATCATACTGGTTGTTTGTTGAATTTAAACGGGATCTGACAGCAGTTTGTGGTTGATACCTATTTTGTGTGTCCTAGGCTGTGGTCCAAGGCCATTTTCGCTGGCTATAAGCGGGGTCTCCGGAACCAGAGGGAGCACACAGCACTTCTTAAAATTGAAGGTGTTTATGCTCGAGATGAAACAGAATTCTATCTGGGCAAGAGATGTGCTTATGTGTACAAAGCAAAGAAGTAAGTTTATAGTATTGTTATGCATATTGAGTTGTTATTTGAGATTTGTCTTATTTCCCTATCCAAACAAATAAATTGATACTGGTGTGGCTTCTACTTTGGGACCTTTAGGACCTTTATGGGAGGTTATGGGTTATAGAAGGATGTTACTTTTGAGGGTAGTTTTGTATGTAAGTATCTTCTGCAGTTAATAACAGCTGTTCATTATTTCAAGGCAAGAGCCAGCTCCTTATGATATTAACGATTTTATAGAGTGCTTTTCATGTATCCTAATTCATTTGGTTCTCTATCCTGGGTTCTTAAGCCCATTACAGACCAAGTAAAATCTCTTGATACATGCTTTCATCTTTGTTCTCCTTTTCTCCTACAATCAGTGATCCTTTGAATTATGTCAGATCATCTGTACATTGTTCAAGCTCCCATGTCATTAGTAAAAGCCAAAGTCATCAAAGACTATGTTTTCAAAACTGTTTCTACTCTTAATCTAGTTGGGATTCACCTCTTGGTCTCTTATGCCTTTTCACAAGCAAAGCACACACCTCCTCAGTCTTTGATACCTTCTTAGACCTTCCCGATTTTAAAATTTGATACACACAAATACCTCAAACTACTTGACCCCCTTTCCTTTATTTATTTTATTTTTTAAAATATATTTTATTGATTGTTTACAGAGAGGAAGGGAGAGAGATAGAGAGCTAGAAATGTTGATGAGAGAGAAACATCGACCAGCTGCCTCTTGCACACCCCCTACTGGGGATGTGCCCGCAACCAATGTACATGCCCCTGACCGGAATAGAACCTGGGACCCTTCAATCCGCAGACCGACGCTCTACCACTGAGCCAAACCGGTTTCGGCCCCCTTTCCTTTATTCTTTCTCAGTTATTTCAAAAGCTCTTACCATCTTACCTTCTATACTTTACTTACATATAAGTGAAGACTATATACTTGGTTATCCTCTAAAAGGAATTTGTTTTATAAACTGTATTTTTACAAAATTCCAAACAATTACATTGTGTCTGGCATATAGTATGCGGAAGGCTTTTAGGTCAGATGTCACTTTGACTTTGTACCACATTAGAGTACTAATTGCCTGGGTTCTCATGGTTTTTGTATTCTCTTTTAAAATCAGCAACACAGTGACTCCTGGGGGCAAACCAAACAAAACCAGAGTAATCTGGGGGAAGGTAACTCGCGCTCATGGAAACAGTGGAATGGTTCGTGCCAAATTCCGAAGCAACCTTCCTGCTAAGGCTATTGGACACAGAATCCGAGTAGTAAGTACAATTATAAGCAGAATACTTGTTGAGTCAAACTAAGCTCAAGCTGTTGGAAGAACTTACGTGATTATAAAATGTAACTAGAAAGATTATGCTACAGAATTAGTGGCTCCTGTGTAACCGTATTATGGAACATAAGGTTCTTGATATTAGAAGGAAAGTGAAGGCAAATTTTTCAAGTGAATTATGCCTAGATTTTAGATTTTGCTGAAGCTTTGTGGAGGGAAATAGTATTTTAATGAATAATTTTCTGCCCTGGCTGGTGTGGCTCATTTGATTGGAGCATCATTCAGGGCAACAAAAGGTAGTGAGTTTAACTCCCAGGTTTAGGGTTCTATTCCTGGTTGGGGCATGTGCAGGAGGCAGTAGATAGATGTTTTTCTGTGTCCCCTCCCTTTCCTCTCTCTACGAAAAAATCAGCAAAATAAAATAAATGAACAAATTCCTGGCAAAGACATGTATTGGACACTAAAATAGTTGCTAGAAAATTGAAAACATGCCATTTTCTGGCATAATTACTAATATTTCCCTGTCTTTTGACAGTTTTATTAGATTAGGTGTTTAGTCTTATTTTGTAGAAGAAAACATGTTTTTGTCAATCCTACCAGATTTTTAAAAATATTTTTATTGATTTCAGAGAGGGAGAGAGAGATAGAAACATCAATGATGAGAATCATTGATTGGCTGCCTCCTGCAAGCCCCACATTGGGGATCAAATAGGAAACTTGGGCATGTGCCCCAACTGGTTCATAGGTCAATGCTCAACCCTTGAGCCATGCCGGCTGGGCCCATAGAATATTTATTTTTATTTTTTTTTATTTATTTATTTATTTTTTCAAGCAGAATATTTATTTTTAGACAGAGTGGATGGGTGGCAGGGAGGGAGAGAGAAACATTGGCCCTGGCTGGTTTGGCTCCAGGGATAGAGCAGTGGCCTACAGAAGGGTCCCAGATTTGATTCCTGGTCAAGGGCAGAGAAACATTGGTTGCCTCCTTCGTGCACCCTGAGAGCATCCCGACCAGGAACAGGGAATGAACCTAAAGCCCAGGTCTGTGTCCTTAACCAGGAATTGAACCCAAAGCCTTTCAGTGCGCCGGTCAGGGCAATTAACAATAGTATCCGTTTTTAATAGTCTTGGGCCACTTGGGGTACTTTTGAACCCGAGTGCAAAGTAACATGTTCACCTAAAAATTGAAGGCCATAAAAACTTGGTTCCTCCCCCTACCTACATATAACTCATTGGATGCCTTTTAGAGATGAGTAATGAGACAATGGGAGATTTATCCATATTGTGTTACTAATGACATTTGTAAATTTGTATGTATAACATGCACCTAATGACATTTTCTTTTTCCCCCCTCCAGATGCTGTACCCCTCAAGGATTTAAACTTACTGAAAATAAATAAAATGGATTTGTTTTCATGTGTTTTGGTCAAATGGCTTAAAAATCACATGCCCTAAATTCACTTGCTATGTGCTTAAATGGTGGCAGTTATCAGGCATTTTCAGAGTATACTAGGAAGTCAGAGGGCTGTATGTAGTGAGGATTACAGAGATTTAAACAACTGGATAGGAATAATGTATCAGGCCTTACAAGTTAATGGAGAGAGGGAACAAGTTAACTTTGGGGACAGTGAAAAAGAAGTACATTGGAAAGTGATGGAGTACTTAAACCTAACCTCTGATAAGCTTTTGGACAATTGGAGACAGCATATTCCAGGAAGTATAGAAGCCAATTTTAGCCAGTACGGTAAGTACCATGTAACAGTTTATTTCTTTGGTACTGCATTTTACTAAATATTCTGGGAACCGCCTCCCAGATTAGATTGAGAGTTGGTGAAGAAAACATTGATCTTTTCAAATACCTTGTAATAGTATGCACTTTTCAATAGATTGGGTGGAAAACTTGTGACTTAAAAAAGGTAGTTGGGAGAAATTTGAATGGAGGCTATAGTGATGGTATTGGCAGCCTGCTGGATAGGCAGGGATGAGATATCCTTGGCACTGATGACAAAGCATTCAAGTATATCACAAATGGGAATAATTAGTTGAAAATGTCAAAATAATGCCACATGCCTCCATTATCTGTGTGTGTGTGGGGGGGGGGGTCAAGGTTGGTGTTGCCTCATGAGTGTAGCTTTATTTGGCTCTTACGTTTAAATATAAAAGTGTAGGATTGGGATTTTAGCATAATGAGATTAAGCAGGGCTGCAGAGTATTTTGAATCTCAAAATGTTGAAATAGAATTTTGAACTGTCCGAAACCGGTTTGGCTCAGTGGTAGAACGGAGGTCTGCAGACTGAAGGGTCCCGGGTTCGATTCCGGTCATGTACATCAGTTGCGGGCACATCCCCGGTAGGGGGTGTGCAAGAGGCAGCTGGTCGATGTCTCTCATTGACGTTCCTAGCGCTCTATCTCTTCCCCTTCCTCTCTGTAAAAAATCAATAAAATATATATTTTTTAAAAAGTTGGAACCGAGTTCATCAGTTTGTAATATGGTGGACGTAAATTGATGCAGTAACAGTTAGTCCTTTATTAACAGATCTTAACATCCCATGGGAATAAATGGAGTTTGCAAAACAGCCCCTCTTACTAAAGTTTTCATTAGTATTGGGTTCCCTAAATAGACGCTGGGAACAGCATGCTGAAAAGTGTGTGGTGGGAAAGGCCTTTGAAGGAGAGGCTCTAGGAAAGGATTCGGATTGGGCACTACAGGCACCCAATCTGGGGAAGGTTTCTTAGTCCAGTGATGTCTTCAAGCCAAGTTTGCTTTTGGAAGAGGCCATGATTCACAGAAACGGGCTTGTATTTGTAATCCAGTCTTACTGATTGACCTCGATGTAATGGATTAATCTGGGCAGGGGGATCCCTTTATAGCTGAGAGTCCATTCGTTATATAGTAAATGGTTTTCCAGAGGCTTATGTTAGAAAATGGACTAGTGAACCTGTGTGTACCTTCCAGACAAATTTGTGTGACTGAAATTATGTATGAAAAGTATGCTTTCACAGGAGACTTTCCTATATGTTACAGTAATTTTAAGTTTATACTGAGTAGGTCTAGTAAATTCACCAGTCAGTGCAAGTAAACAAATACACCCGGCTGGGATGTGGCTTAGTGCATGTTGGGGGACCAGATGGGGGGTTTTTGTTTGTTTTGCAGAGGTCGGGGAGTTGAGTTTTGAGGAGACGGGTTACTTAGCTGTGAATATGTCCAGGAAGACAGAGGGATATTTCAGGTCTGGCTTATTCATGGAAAGGAAAGGAAATAGTGTGGCCCTGGTAACTCAGTTAGTTAGTGCTTTGTCTCAATATGCCAAGGTTGTGGGTTCAATCCCTAGTTGGGGCACATATAAGAAGGAACCAGTGGATGCATAAATAAAAGGAACAACAAATTGGATGTTTCTGTCACCATTGTAGGAGTCAGGTGAATGTGGTATTCTGAGTGGGATAGATAGTAAAGCAATGGCGTGAACACACAAGAACTGATACGCATTTGAGCAAAGCAGGGAAAACTTGCAATCCTTGGCATTGCCAGCTTTGAAAAGTAGCCTTGCATGGACATTCCTCTTTTTGAGTGATGTAATGCATCATTTCAAAATGAGGGTGTCTGCGCTTTTCTGTTCTCACATGAGGTTCGGTCTGTGCAAATGTAGTCCTCAAGCCAAAGTTACTGTTGCTTGACTCCAACGTTTCACAGAAATGAGCTTGAATGACTAGCAGCTTTTCCACCAGACCACTGAAACAGCCTCCGCCCTGACACTACTGTTACACCAGGAACTTGAAGATGATAGGTGTTCTTTGTTGATAATCTGTTGTTTCTTTGTGGTCTTGTAGTGGAAAGAGCACAGGTGAAAGTGATAAATTTGGTTTAGAATCCCAACTTATACTTGTGGAATGATACACATTTTTTTTAATTGATTTGAGAGATTTGTTCCACTTAATTTCTGAATTTATTGGTTGATTATTATGTGTCTTGACCAGAGATCAACCTGCAACTATGACGTATCCAGATGATGCTCTAACCAACTGAATTACCTACCCCACTAGGGTTGACACATTATCTGATGACTATTTGTAAAATGTCTTACGCCTTATTATTTGAGTACATGATCTTCACCAATGAAATATAAATTCTTAGGGAATTTATACCCTACACTTCCAACTATAATAATTTACAATATCCACTTCTCATTGAATGTTCTAGCTAAGTGTTTCCAAAACCTAATTACTTTGTTTTCATGTGCTATAGGTTTATCATGATTTTCAGATTTTTTTTGTAGTTCCTCACTGTTCAGTTTTGAAGGTAGTTTACTCAATGGCAAGGATCCACCCAATCTCTTACTGAGTTAATTATAGTTGCAATTGCTGTGTTTTATTCTTTTTAAATATATTTTTATTCATTTCAGAGAGTAACATAGAATCATTGGCCTGCTGCCTTCCACGTGCCCGCTACTGGGATGGAGCCCCTCAATGGAGCATGTGCTCTGACCCAGTATCAAACGGTGACCTTCTGGTGACCTGGTTCCTCAACCACTGAGCCAAGCAGGCTGGGCCAATTCTTGGATTTTAAATAAGGGATAGGGTTGAATAGTAAAGGACAGACACATGGTTGACTTTATATCAATAGAAAATGACTTTAAGAAGAAATGGGCCTAGCCGATCAGTGGCTCAAGTGGTTGATTACCGTCAGGGCACTTGCCCAGGTTCTGGGCTTCATCCCTGGTGGGGAGGAGGGGTAGTGTGTGCAGAAGGCAGCTGATCAATGATTATCATAGATGTTTCTGTCTCCCTCTCTGAAGTCAATAAAAATACATTAAACCCTAACCAGTTTGGCTCAGTGGATAGAGCATAGGCCTGCAGACTGAAGGGTCCCAGGTTCAATTCTGGTTTTGGGCACATCCCCAGAAGGAGGTGTGCAGGAGGCAGCTGATCAATGTTTCATGATGTTTCTAACTTCCTCTCAAAAAACAAAATATAAAAAAAACCCATTAAAAATTATATTCCATTCACCTTTTGTGAGGGCTACACCATAAAGAATTCTGCAGCTCCAAGTCACTTGGCATCTAGTATGTGTGTATATGTTCCGTGGCTACTGAATTAAAGACAAACTGCCTCACTAGAGTCCCAGACACCGCCATCATTACCATCGACATCACTACTGTCAGTTCTCACGTGAGCCGCTTAGCGGCGTTTCCTGGTTGGCTTCTGGCTACGAGGCCCGGCTTGTGCTCCGGTGAGCCTCCGGGTGACGCAAGCCAATCGCAAAGCAGCTTCCGCCAGCTGGGCCTCCACCCAGCGGCGAGGGGCGGGGCCGGCGCCGGCGTGAGAGCGTCGAGCGCTCCATGGAAACGACGCGCAGCCCGAAGATGGCGCCCGACTGGGGCAGAGGAACGGGGTCCTCTGGTCCAAGCCCGGGCCCCAGTCGGTGGCTCTGGAGCGGTTCTTCATGGGTCCGAGGCATTTTGCTCCTGTTGGGCGGGCTCCGGGCAAGTGCTACGTCCGTTCCCGTCTCCTTGAGCAGCTCCTTCCCCTGCCGGCACCACGTCCCCTCGGACGCTGAGGTAGGGCGGCGGGCAGGGAGCGGGCCTGCGGGCGAAGTCATGCGGGAGGCAGCGGCCGAGAGCAGAGACTGGAACCGGGTGTATGGGGGCAGGAAGCCAGCGCCGAGAGGCCGGGCCTTGGTGTCCTCTCCCTTCCTGTCCCCAGCTAAGCGGCTGACCTAGGCACTTGGAGCATCATCACGCTCTTGTGCGGGGAGTTGTGCGTATGAGGCAGCCCTAGAGGGGTGGTTTTCAAACCTGAGCAGCATCAGAGCCTGAAGGGCTGCCCCCCCCCCCCCACACACACACACTTTCTGACTCATTAAGTCCGGGATGGGCCCCCAGAGTATGTGCAGCTCAAGTTCCCAGGTAGTTGATGGTACTCTTATCCATTGACCACACTTCGTGAAACACTGAACTAAAAGTTCGGGAAGGAATTAATTGGGGGAATCGGAGGGGTACTGGGGGTTCTGTGGAGACAAAATCCAGGTTTATTTTCAAGTTTCCTCATCACATTGCTTACTTTACCCGGTTCTCCTGCCCTGGAAGTGCCCACCTCCTTCACACTCCAAGTTTCTTCCTCTCTCAATTCTTTCCGTCTGGGTTACGTTCTCTTATCTCAAGGCAGCCTGCTGAAACCAACCCCAGCAGGACGATCTTTCCATTTCTCTGGGCGTCTTATCTGTAGTCTCATCGGTAGTAACTTGATCAAGTACTGCTATGTGATGCTGGCTTATTTTCCAGGCATGGCTTGCCTTTGTATTAAATTGTAAAGTTCCTTAGGATAAAGTTCGTGTCTTACGCTTTTGGGAAAAGGGTTGGCTAGGCAGACAGGAAGGGGCGGGGGCTTCAGGGAGGATGGAGGCATTTCTGGCCTGAGCAATTAAAGCAGCCATAAACCAAGGACAGGTATCTATGGCCTGAGCAATTAAAGCAACCATAAGTTAATCTAAAGCAGCCATGATCTGAGCAGCTGGGAACGCCTTAAGGAAGATCAAAAGCAATTCCAGCCTGAACAGATAAGATGACCAAATAGGAGAAGTGATTTAGGGGCCCTGGGAACTGATTACAAGGCTGAAGTCCCCTGGTGGGAAAGGCTCGATAAGGGAAAGAATGGTCTCTAGAATATTTACTACCTCAAGACAGAGAGAGACAGAGTCTTAGAATTAGAAATTTAAGAGGTAGTATCTACTTGCAATACAGTTTCTGTACTTCTCATCTATCACCTTTTGTCCAAGGCTTCGGTTCTTCGAATCTGTCTGGACAAGAACCTGGTAACATCCTTGCACTCTGCTCACCAAAAAACCTCAAATCACTTTGATTCTTCACAGTACTTAGCTCAGAGGGAGAGCCCACAACCGTTACTCTTCTTTGAAGAAAACAGACACAGAACTGGGACAGGGCTGCATGTTGTGGTTGGTTTTACAGTTTGTCTTATTGCTTTATCAGTATTAACCTAGAAATGTTCAGTTCAGCCTAGTAATCTAAGACCACTAATTTATGGGGTAACTTCCAAAGATTTCTATGCATAATGTTCAACCATATATGTCAAAATATTAATTGTGTGGTTTGTGGTGGTATAGTTTTTATCATGACACTGCATTTTGGCTGAATTGTCTTATTTTTTTAGTCTCTTAGAAACTTTTAAGTTTATAATACACTAGAGACCTGGTGCACCGCTAGGTCCCCAGGCCTGGCTGGAGATCAGGGCCAATTGGGGCCTTCCCTCAGGCTGACGGCTGGGGCCTTCCCTCAGGCTGGCGGCTGGGGCCTTCATTCTGCATCGTCTCCTAGTAGGTCAGCACATGTCATAGTGAGCCATCAGTCTCCCTGTTGAACTCCCAAGGGGACAATTTGCATATTAGGCTTTTATAATACAGGATTAGTGTTGTCCATAATCACTATGCTGTGCATTAGGTCTATAGGACTTATTTATCTACTGTTATAAGTTTGTACCCTTAACATATCCCTCTGTTCTCCCATCCCTCTTTTTTAAAAATTTCCACAAAGCCCTGTGCTTCTCCCTTTCAATCTAGCTTAAAATAAGAGGAAATAATAATAATAATAGGAAGTAGTTCAAAGATCTATAAAACCTCTGCTAGAAGGAAACTTAATATCTGTTTTCTTCTAGTGATTGTGCCAATGTATAAATCTCCAACTTATATTTGAACATCTCCATGAATAGGGGCATTATCTCCAGAGGCAGCCCTTATGTTTTTTGGAGATCAACATTGTTAAAGTTTTTCTTTATCATAAGAGCTGAAAACTCTTTTTGAAATTTTCACCATCCTCACCCCCATTCCTGTTTATGCCTCTCAGCTGGAAAAACTTGGTAGTGATAGTGCTTCAGGTATTAAAAGCAAGCTATTAAGTTCTTGAGAGTTCTCATCCCTAGTAAATTTTCCTAGTTCTTGACAGGGTATGTAATAGCAAGCCCTTAGTGGCAGGTTTGAGGCTGTTAGGGACGATTAGGGAGGCGGGCAGGCAGGCAGAGTGGTTAGGGGTGATTAGGCCGGCAGGGGAGAGCAATTAGGGATATCAGGCAGGCAGGCAAGCAGGTGAGGGGTTAGGAGCCGGTGGTCCCAGATTGGAGAAGGTGCAGGCTGGGCTGAGGAACCACCCCCCACCGAGCATGAATTTCATGTACTGGGCCTCTAGTATTATAACTATGTATGGTGCAAAGTGGATATTAGAATTATCAGGGGAATCACTTCACAAATTATATAATTATCTAACTACTATACTGGACATCTGAAACAAATATTTTTTAAAATTATCTTTTGGCCCTAGCTGGTTTGGCTCAGTGGATAAAGTGTCTGCCTGGGACTGAAGAGTCTCGGCTTCAATTCCAGTCAAGGGCACATGTCTGGATTGTGGGCTCCTTCCCTAGTAGGGGGCATGCAAGAGACAGCCGATCAGTGATAGTGATGCTCTTTCATTGATGTTTCTATCTCTCTTTCCCTCTCCTTTTCTCTCTGAAATCAATAAAAATATATTTTTAAAAAATTATCTCTCAGTGTCTATAGACTCTGAGTAATATCTACTCTTTTATTTCTAATGCTGCAATTGGTGTTTATTCTGTTTTATCATAGTCCAGTTTGGGTAGGGGATTTATTAATTTTATTAATCATTATAATAACCAACTGTTGGTTTTTGTAGTTATCTTTAAAGATGGTTATCTATCTTATTGTTTTTTGTTCTTTATTATTTCCTCTTCCTACTTATTATAGTTACTTTGTTCATATTGTTAAGTGGAATCTTAGAGCCTTTTATTCTTTCTAATATAAACATCAAAGATACAAATTTTGCTCTAAGTACCTACAACTCTAGCTGCACCTCACAGATTTTGACACATTGTATTTTAATTATTGTTTAGTTCAAAAAGTGTTTTCATTTTTCCGGATAATTTCTTCTTTGATCCATGGGTTATTAAAAATATGTTTAAAATATAATTTCTAAATATTTGTTCCTTTTCTAGCTACCTTATGTTAGTAATTTCTAAGTTAGAGAGTATTTTTTGTAAGATTTCAGCACTTTAAAGTTTGAGATTGTTTTATATATACTTCAGCATATGCTTTAACCTGTTTAACTTTTTATCTGTACTTGTAAAGGATATATATTCTATAGTTATTGTGTGCAGGTTTCTATACATCTCATAAGATGTGATGATTGACAGTGTACTTCAGATTAATATATTCTTACAAATTATGCCTAATTGTCAGGATCTTAAAAACCTCTAAGATTATAAATTATTCTTCCTTTGGTTCTTTCAGCTTTTGCTCCATGGATTTTTGAATCCATTGTTAGATGGATTCAAATGTATAATTATGTCTTTCTGTTGTATTTTACCCTGTCTACTTGTATAAGTTTTCATTATAAAATTTTACTCTATTTCTGGCCCTTTCTTGAAGTCTATTTTGTCTGATATTAATGTAGCCATTTCAGCTTGCTTATAATTAGAGCTTACATTCTCTCACATTTAACCTTTTGTGCTGTGTGTGTGTGTGTGTGTGTGTGTGTGCTTGCTTTAGGGATTATAATATACATCTTAAATAATTAAAGCATAATATGCTAATTAGACCAGACAGCCAAATAGCCTTCCGGACGAAGCCAGGGCTATGAGGGGGCATGCTGGAGTCATCTAATTGATGTTTCACTCTCTCACACTATATATGTATATATGTGTGTGTGTGTGTATATATGTGTGTGTGTGTGTGTGTATACACATATATGTGTGTGGGGGGGTGTTTATTGATTTCAGAGAGAAAGAGAGAGTGAGAGCTATTATAGAAACATCAATAATGAGAGAGAATCATTCATTACTGCCTTCTGTATGTTCCCTATTGGGGATCGAGCCCAAAACCCAGGCATGAGCCTTGACCGTGAGTTGAACGGTGACCACCTGATTCATGGGTGAACATTCAACCACTGAACCACACCAGCCAGGCTACATCTTTTGCTTATCCTATCTAATAAAAGAGTAATATGCAGATTACACCCACAAGCCATGTCCTCTGGCCAATCAGGAGTGAGTATGCAAATTATGTAAACAAATATGGTGGTGGCCACAGAGCTGGAGGGAGCAGGAGACTTGGGTTGTCCCCAGCGATGGAGGAAGCCAAGCTCTCCGCCTGCCACGGCCCTGATCTCCACTTAAGGCTACAAAGTTTCAATTATAGAAGATAAATAAATCCCAACAAAAATGGTGGCAGCCACAGAATTGGAGCCAGCTGGAGGCTTGCGTTTCACCTGGCAATGGAGGAAGCCAAGCTTTCTGCCAGCCCTGGCCGGCCCTGGCCTTTGCTCAAGGCTACAAAGTTTCAATTATAAAAAATAAATAAATCCCAGATGCCAGGGCCTCCACTTGGGTCACTGGGGGGCATGGCCAGCCTGCAAAACATCACAGGCTCCTTGCCTAGGCCGCTCCATCCCCCAAGGTAACCCCTACCCTGATCCGGGACATCCTTCAGGGCAAACCAGCTAGCCCTCACCCGTGCACCAGGCTTTATACTATCCAATAAAAGAATAATATGCAGATTGACCATCACTCCAACACACAATATGACTGCCCCCATGTGGACACAAGATGGCCACCAAAGATGGCCAGCAGGGAAAGGCAGTTAGGAGGGACCAGGCCTGCAAGGGAGGGCAGTTCTGGGCGATCAGGCCAGCAGGGGAGGGCAGTTGGGAGGGACCAGGCCTGCAAGAGAAGGCAGTTAGGGGTGATGAAGCCTGCAGGGGAGGGGCAGTTAGGGGTGATGAGGCTGGCAGAGGAGGGAAGTTGGGAGTGACCGGGCCTGCAGGGAAGAGCAGTTGTGGGAGATTCAGGCCTGCAGGAGAAAGCAGTTGGGGGTGACCAGGCCTGCAAGGGAGGGAAGTTGGGGGCAAACAGGCAGGCAGGGGAGCAGTTAGACATCAATCTGGCTGGCAGGGGAGTGGTTAGGGGGTGATCATGCTGGCAGGCAGAAGCAGTTAGGGACAATCAGGAAGACAGGCAGGCAAAGGTTGGGAGCCTGGATTGTGAGAGGGATCTCTGACTGCCCATTTAGGCCCAATCCTGGTAGGATAGGGCCTAAATGGGCAGTCGGACATCCCTCAAGCGTTCCCAGATTGGAGAGGGTGCAGGCTGGGCTGAGGGACACACACCTCCGTGCACAAATTTCATGCTTCGGGCCTCTAGTTTTAAATATTTAATGTTGATTTTTGTCTTATAATGACTATTATGTATAATTAGAAACTTGATGCACGAAATTTGTGTAAAGGGCTCAGCCCTTATAGCCTCAACAGCTTGCCTCAGCCCTCGCAGCCCTGGCTCCGTCCGGAAGGCTGTTTGGCTGTTTGGTCTAATTAGCATATGCTTTTATTATTCTGGATAGTATAGTACATCCAATATGATGTTGAATAAGAATAGTGAGAATAGCCGGGACCGGTTTGGCTCAATGGATAGAGCGTTGGCTTGGGGACTGACCGGGTTCGATTCCGGTCAAGGGCATGTACCTTGGTTGTGGGCATATCCCCAGTAGGGGGTGTGCAAGAGGCAGCTGATCGATGACTCTCTCTCATCGATGTTTCTAACTCTCTATCTCTCTCCCTTCCTCTCTGTACAAAATCAATAAAATATATTTAAAAAAAAAAAGAATAGTGAGAATAGACATACTTGATCTTACGGGGAAAGTATTTAGTTTTCCACTATTAAGAATATTAGGCTGAAACCAGTTTGGCTCAATGGATAGAGCATTGGCCTGCTGACTGAAAGGACTCGGGTTCGTTTCTGGTCAAGGGCATGTACCTTGGTTGCAGGCACATTCCCAGTAGGGGGTGTGCAAGAGGCAGCTGGTCGATGATTCTCTGTCATCGATGTTTCTAACTCTCTATCCCTCTCTCTTCCTCTCTGTAAAAAAATCAATAAAATATATATTAAAAAAAAAGAATATTAGGCTGGACTAGAGAGAGAGAGAGAGAGAAATATAGATTTTTGTTTTTCCATTTGTGCATTTATTGGTTGACTCCTATATGTGCCCTGACCAGGAGTCAAACGTACAATCTTTGAGCATCAGTAAAATGCTCCAACTGACTGAGCTACTCAGCCAGGGCACCATCTGTATATTTTCTTCAGTGAAATGACTATTAAACTTTTTGGCCTTTTTTTTTTTCTTTTTAGATTTTTAAAATTAATATTTAGAGAGAGAAAAATATCAGTGTGAGTGAAATATCAATTAGATGACTCCAGCACGCCCCCTATAGGGGATGAAGCCTGTAACCTGGACCCAAGCATGTACCCTGATTAGGAATCCACCTGGCAACCAACTGGGCCACACCAGCCAGGACAGTTTTTAGCCATTTAAAACACTGGGTTGTTTGTTTTCTTTTTCTTTTTTAACATTTTTGTTGAATTTATCAGGGTGACATTGGTTAATAAAATTATATAGCTTTCAGCCCGGCCAGCTTGGCTCAGTAGTTAAACATTGACTTATGAACCAGGGAAGTCGCAGTTTGATTCCCAATCAGGGCATATGCCTGGGTTGTGTGCTAGGTCCCCAGTTGGGGATGTGCAGGAGGCAGCTCATCAATTATTTTCTCTTATTGGTTTTTCTCTCTCTCTCTTCTTCTATGGAATCAATAAGAATGTATTTTTAAAAATTATGTAGGTTTTAGATGTACAATTCTATAATACATAATCTGTGTATTGTGTTATGTGTTTGCCACCCCAAGTCAAGTCTCCTTCTATCAGCATTTATCCTCCTTATACCCTCTTCTACCCTCCTTCCCCCTCTTTAGATTGTTTGTTTTCATAATCGTTTCATTTTAAGAGTTCTTTCTATATTTTGGATAATAGTCCCTTTTCAGATGTGTCTTTTGCAAATATTTTCTTCTATCGTGGCTTAACTTTTTATTCTCTTGACATTATCTTTCACTGAGCAGAGCTTTTAATTTTAATAAAGTTGAATTTATCAATTATTTCATTCATGGACCATGCCTTTAGTGCTATATCTAAAAAGTCATTGCCATACCCAAGTTCATCTATCATAGGTTCACTCCTATTGCATCTTTTAAGAGTCTTATTGTTTTGCATTTTATATTTAGATCTACAGTCCATTTTGAGTTCATTTTATGAAGAATGTTAGGTGTGTGTCTAGATTCATTTTTTCCCCATATAGATATCCAGTTGTTCTAAAACCATTTGTTGAAAAGATTACCTGCTTCATTGTGTTGCCTTTTTTCTCTTTGTCAAAGCTCAGTTGACTGTATTTATGGGGTTCTGTTTCTAGTCTATCTATTCTGTTCTATTGGTCTGCCTCTGCTTTTGCCAGTACCACACTGTCTTGATTACTGTAGCTTTATAGTAAGTCTTGAAGTTAGGTAGTGTCAGTACTCTATGTTCTTCTTCAATATTGTGTTGGCTATTCTGGGTCATTTACCTATTTATATAAATTTTTAGAATCAGTTGATTTATATCCACAGTATAACCTGTTAGATTTTGATTGAGATTACTTTGAATCTATACATCAAGTTGAGTTTATCCATAAATAGGAAATATCTCTCTATTCATTCTTTATTTTTATTCTGGGTATTACACTTGAAATTTAGTTTATTAATTTTACATTATGACCTCAATCGATTAATCTGTACAACATCTTTTAAAAAACTTTAAATCTATTCCTTTTTTTCAGGTCATAAATAAGGTCCATCTTAAAGCAAATCATGTTGTAAAGAGAGATGTTGATGAACATTTACGAATCAAGACTGTCTATGATAAAAGTATTGATGAGTAAGTACATCATTATTTTGTGATCTTTTTTATTAAGAATTAAACTTTAAAGAAAAAAAATTTAATTGATTTCAGAGAGGGAGAGAGAGATAGAAACTTCAATGACAAGATCATTGATCGGTGCCTCCTGCACACCCCCTACTGGGGATCAAGCCTGCAACCCAGGCATATGCCCTTGTTAGAATCAAACCAGGGACCCTTCAGTCCAAGGCCAGTACTGTCCACTAAGTCAAACCAGTTAGGGTAAGAATCAAACTTTTAAAGGTATTTTTATCTGTTATCTGAAGTTCCATAGATTCAACTCAGAGCCAGTGCATCTTAAAGATGGAATTAATCTAAAAATGCTTTTTAATTTGGAAAGATGATAGCCATCAAAATCTGTACATCATGTCCAGCTGGTGTGGTTCAGTGGTTGAGCATCAACCCATGCACCAAGAGGTTATGGGTTCTATTTCCAGTCAGGACACATGCCCGGGTTGAGGGCTTGATCCTTACTAGGGGGTGTGCAGGAAGCAGCCAGTCATTGATGTTTCTCTCTGATCTGTGTTTCTAACTCTCTCTCTAAGAATCAATAAAAACCTATTTTTAAAAAATCTATATGTTATGCATAATTTGAACAGAACAAATGTGGATCTCTTTGGATGTGGTCAATAACAGACCCAGAAGGCACCTCCTCAATAAGTACTTGGAAGAAAAATAAGAGGAAGTGTTTATGTGTGTGTGCGTGCGTGTGTGTGTGTGTGTGCGTGTGTGTATATATATACACACACACACACACACACACACACACACACACACAAACAATAATAAGAACATTTACAAAATTATTCACCAGAGAGGTGGTATAGTCTAAATTTTTTATTTAGTGTAAGAGTAGTCCAGAAAACATGTAAATTATGAATCTATAGTAGGTTTTTAAAAAATATTTTTTATTGATTTTTAGAGAGAAAGGAAAGGAGAAGGGGATGAGAGAGAAACATTAATGGGCTGCCTCCAGGGATTGAGTCTACACCTCGTGTATGTGTCCTGACTGGGAATTGAACCAGCAACCTTTTAGTACAGGGGATGATGGCCAACCAACAGCCACACTGTCCAGGACAATCTATAGTCCTATATAATAAAAGGCTAATAATGCAAGTCGACTGAACAGCAGAATGACAGATCTCTGTGACACACACTAACCACCAGGGGGCAGATGCTCAATGCAGGAGCTGCCCCCTGGTGGTCGGTACACTTGTGCCTCTCTGCCAGAAGCCCTGAGCTGGGCTCACAACTGACAGCGGGGGTGGTGGTAGCCCCTCCTGCCTCCGTGGCAGCGCTGAGGGTGTCCGACTGCCAGTTTGGGCCCACTTCCCGTGGCCAGCAGGCCTAAGCCATCAGTTGGACATCCCCCAAGGGCTCCCAGACTGCAAGAGGATACAGGCCAGGCTGAGGCCACCCTCCCCTCTCCCGCCCCAGTGCATGAATTTTGTAAAATTTATAAAAATCTATTAAGAGTAGCTGATAGCCTTTACTATCTTTAACTTTCCAAATGAATGAAATAGCATATGATCATGCCTAGCATTGTGCTTTGTCACTGAATGAAATCTCAAATACTCATTGTAATTAATTTAAATTTTGAGGGCTTAATACTGCATTCTTCCACAAAGCATTCCTTGGGGCTCCTACCAGATGTATTCTGCATAAGTGAGACAATGCTCTGCCCAGGATGGCAATTCTTATCTTTCATATTGTCACTTCTTTCAGGTTGCTCCCTGAAAAAAGATACCTTGTTAAGGTAGGTAATAAATACTCATGGTTTGAATTGGATACTTAAAACGGGTATATTTATTGTATGTAAATTCTACTGCGGTAAAGAAAGCTATTGTATATACATGACTTTTGTGAATGACTGAATACAAGATGTTGGTAGTGAATTGATAAATGTATTTGTCATTTTCACCAAAGGTGTTTTTGTTATGCACTCACCAAGACTTCATTTGTGTTTGATATTAAATTCTCATTTTCTTAAGTTTTTGGGGAGCAGAACATATGGAGGATAGTGTACAAAAAGCTGAGTTTTTGGAAATGCGTTGAAAATACCATTGTGGAAATGCTTTTTCTCCTGAAGATTAATTAACCTGAAAGTATGATATGCCAAAGTTGTTTATAGAAGTTACAGAGAGTTACACACACATGTTAAGCCAGTTCATTCACAGAAATAATCAATGTTAAAGTAAATTTTCTAAACATAGGATTTTCTTAACATAAACTACCATGATGTTGGAACCAACTAACTCAGTCCCAAACTGTAAGTAATTTAGATTAATAGTTCAGATGTATGCTTTCTGATATTCTGTTTACATAGACGTAGGGAAGGAAGTTTCAGCTAGTGTTCTTTCCCCAAACTCACCTAGAAAATGAGGGAATTCCTTTGTTCCTGGATGTATTCACTCTTCCCTCTACTCCTTGTCATGTAACCTTTACATAATTAATACCTTTATTCCAGAATTATAAGGCTTTTTCCTATTTTTCCCCCTCAGGGGAAAATAATAATGATAAATCCTATGTGTACTTGTTTTAAATGTAATTTATACTTTGATTATAATTCTGCTTGTTTTCTTTGTTTAACTTTTATTTAGAACAAACTTTTTCCACAAGCTATTTCTTATTTAGAGAAGACTTTCCAGGTTCGTAGACCTGCGGGCACTATCTTACTTAGCAGGTATGTCACTTTAAACACAGATTATTTAGTACTCTGCCCTCCCCATTTTAACAGTATGGAAAATTATGAAATTTATACTAGAATATTTGATTATGATTTTTTTAAAGACCAAAATACAAGCTATTTTAAAAATAATACAAAAGCATCTGTTGGATAATTATTCCTTTCCTGATTTTCTAATATATAGTGACCTACTAGATTTTTTTCCTAGGGTGTAATTGTCCCCTGCTTGCTACATCCCCCTTCTCCCTCCTTCTTTGCCTGCAGTATTGGTTTTATTGTATGAAATATTTGGGTATTTGAAAACTCAGATCAGGAGGATTTCCCATGAAACCAAAAATTTTTCTTAGTCCACTTTTCTAACTAATATAGTAACTATTCATGAGCTAATATAGCTGTTACTAGTTTTTTTATGATGTCTTTGACTACTGTGAACTCTTCCCCCCTCTTTTCCCCTTTTCTTTTTCTTTTTGGCAATTAAACTTGGATATACAAATGAACTGAAGACAATGTGCAACAAACCAATACCTACGGAAGGAAAATGATCCCCACAGATACTGTACAGGAGAATGTGCAGAGCACACAAAGTGTGGCCCCATTATAGTGCCTGAAGAGCACCTCCAGGTAGTTCAGCCTGCTATTAGCAATGCTTTTGGTATTTTTCCCCCATAATTTTTCTTTCTTTTTTTCTTTTTTTAAAGCAATGTTTTTATTCTTTAGAATAACTTTAGGGGAAATTTTGAATCTGTGTTACCAAAAAGTGTTTTGTTTTTTTAAAATATATATTTTTATTGATTTCAGAGAGGAAAGAAGAGGGAAAGATAGAAACATCAATGAGCCGAAACCGGTTTGGCTCAATGGATAGAGCGTCGGCTTGGGGACTGAAGGGACCCGGGTTCAATTCCGGTCAAGGGCATGTACCTTGGTTGCGGGCATATCCCCAGTGGAGGGTGTGCAAGAGGCAGCTGATGGATGACTCTCTCTCATCGATGTTTCTAGCTCTCTATCTTTCTCTTTTCCTCTCTGTACAAAAACAATAAAATATATTAAAAAAAAAAAAGGAAACATCAATGATGAGAATCATTGATCAGCTGCCTCCTGCACATCCCCCACGGGATCAAGCTAGCAACTCCAGCATGTGCCCTGATTGGGAATCAAACTGTGATCTCCTGGTTCATAGGTCAATGCCTAACCACTAAGCCATAAAGCCAGGCTACCTTATATACTGTATTTGAATTTTTAAAAAGATACATGAATTACTTATAGTAGGAAATATATTTATATTTTAAATGTTTAAAATTAATTTTGAAAGAAAATTACTATAGATTTATAGGAAGCTGCAAAAAAAAATGTATAAGGAGGTCCCTTTTATATTTCTGTTTTGCATCCTGGTTGGCTGCTGCTTAGTAATAGCAATTATTTGTTTGAGGTAAAATTATAGATTTATGATTATTTTACATTAAGTAGAAATTTTAGTAAAATAAATTCAGAGTTACTAGTAGAGACAAGAAGTGAGTAGAAGGAGGTATGGATTTTGATAAATTTGAAGGATAAATAAAAATTAAATTATATATGTTCAGAGTCTAGATTCACTGTAAGTTAAAAGTCTCCACAGCTAATCTTGTCTTTGGTCTGATTTTCTGTTGCCTCCCTCCCGCCCCCATGCGTGCAGCAGTGCAGGGTCTGCCGTGGGGGTAAGTGGCCCTGTGGAGCAGTGGGTGTGCCAGACCAAGAGGGGGTCCGAGATGCTGACTTTGTTCTTTATGTTGGTGCTCTGGCCACCGAGAGGTGCAGCCATGAAAACATCATTTCTTATGCAGCCTATTGTCAGCAGGAAGCAAAAATGGACAGGTAAGCTTTCCCCTGAGACTTATTTCTCAACATCTGGTATGGGAACATTTAAAACAAACTATATTATGTGTTTAGAGTACAGGTAGTTTGCACTTGCCAGATTGCCTTCAGAAGTAAGAAATGGCACACTGCCTGAATGGGGGCCAGGGAGTGGAGGAATCAAATTGTAGGACCGTTACACATATGGCAATGTCAGTACCAAGTCCAAAGAAAACGTCTGCTGTCAAGGGAATTTTCTTTGGAAGTAAATACCTCTCTAAGGAAACAATTTTAACTTAAATTTGAGCAATTCTGTGGCAATATCAGGAGAATATGCAGGTTGAGGGAGAACTTCCCATTCCAACTGGCGCAGTTTTTCAGCAGTGATTCTTGCAGTATGCGGTCGTGCGTTATCGTGGTGAAGAATTACGCCCTTCCGATTAATCAGCGCGGGTTCTTTTTCTCTTAAAGCTTGGGCTAACCTTTCCAATTGGGCACTATACACTGCACTTGTAATGGTTTGGTTAGATGGTAAAAGTTCATAATGAAGAATTCCTTTAAAATTCCACCAAACATACAACATCACTTTTTTCGCATGCAAGTCAGGTTTTGGCATGGGCTGTGGAGCCTCATTTTTGTCCAACCATTGAGGCCGCCTTTTCAAATTAACATACAGCACCCATTCTTCATCTCCGGTAACAATTTGCTCTAAAAACGGCAAATGGTTTTGACGAGGGAGGAGCGAACTGCAAATTGTGACTCTTTGATTACGGTTGTTGTCGGTCAACTCATGAGGAACCCATTTTCCAAACTTTTGGACTTTGCCAAGTGCACGCAATTGATTGGAAATTGTTTTTTGTGAACAATTTAAAGTTGTCGCAAGTTCTTGTTGGGTAATTTGAGGATTTTGCACCAAAAGAGCTTGAAGAGCTTCTTGATCAAAATTGGACACACGGCCTCGACCACTCTTGTCATCTAATGAAAAATTTCCCTCGCGAAATTTCTCAAACCAATGCTGGCATTTTCTGGCGCTAACTGCATCTTGACCAAGAGCACTACAGATGTTTTTTGCAGCCTCACTTGCTTTTCTTCCTAATTGGAACTCGTAAAGCATGCAGTACCGAATATGCTCTTCATCCGCCATCTTCTTAGCCCTAGTTTTGCAACAAAAACCAAACCAAACACAAACTTTTTCAAGCAAAACTTGTTAATTGCACTTCACACGTTCTGTAGATACCACGTGTTTGAAGGTTATGTCAATACAAGTCAACGCCAAGCAAGATTTTAAACGAATGTTGAAAAACGACATTACTTATTACTAGACCCGATATATATAAAATAAGCTTATTTGTAGGTATCTTATATAATAAATAATAATAACATAATAATAACATAATTATGTTCCTATATAATAGTCTTGTTTAGTAAAAAGAATATACACTTAATAGAGTATTTCTTTTTTCCTAAGATATTAGTTAAATACGAGGGGCCCAGTGCACGAAATTCATTCACGGGTAGGGTCCCTAGGTCTGGCTGCGCAATCAGAGCCAATCAGGCCTTCCTTCCTCTAGTTGCCAGCTGCCAGCCAGGGCCTTCCTTTGTTCCATGCCGCCCCCTGGTGGGCAACACATGTCATAGTGAGTAGTTGAACTCCCAGTCGTTTACACTCCTAAGGGGACAATCTGCATATTAGCCTTTTATTATATAGATACTTATAAATAAGATTAGGTTAGGAAGAAGCCATGTATACCTATTGCTGTTAGAAGCCATTTCAGTGCACACTGTGTGGGAGGATGAGAGCTTCATGACATGGATTGAAGAGAAAGACAGGACTATTTTAATCGAATGTTATAAAAGTCCCTGATGGGTTTTAAGCCTGACAATGACATCCATTTTGTATTTTAGAAGTCGATAGCAATGTTTTTATATATATATATATTTTTTGAAATATATATATATATATATATATTTCACTTACCAAAACATTGCTATTGACCTCTAAGATAATAACATAATAATAAATATATATATAAATAATAAATAACATAAATAAATACATATAAATATATATATATACTTTTCTAAGAATAAATCTATTGTTTGCAAGTATGAAGAATCTATACTATGTTTTTAAAATAAGACAAGTGCTACTTTTTAAATAGGCAATCAAAATTTAGTGAGGTTTGTGGTATTTCTGTGGTTAAGTGTTACATAGTGATGAGAGAAATGACCTGGGGGTTCCTTACCATAGTTTGCCGTTGCTTTTGAACGATCGGTAAGTGCATGATACAACTGACTGAATTTCTCTGAGCCTAGTCAGCTCTCGGAATCAGGTTCTGGGTGCAGAGGAGATGTAGAATTCTATAGATTCTAGAAGGGATAGAATATGAAAGAAGATAATGGGAAGATCGAGATCTTTATATGAATGAAGGGCAGTGTTGGGGCAGGAGAGGGAAGAGTGAGATGGAAATAAGAAGGTTCAGCAACTGTCAGCGACCTGAATGATTTGCTAATTGTCCTGTAGTGTATCACGTTTTCCTCTCTACTTACTTGCCGGTAAATATAGAGAAATGCTGAAGTCATATATGGATTTTGCAAGTAAAATAGTGTTAGAATTTGAATTATCCAGTACATTTCTTTGATATATATTGAAATTTTAAAAATTCATAGTAAGATAAAATTAACTGACTAAATCCTTTTGTAGAAATAGTTGTTGATTATCATGCCATAGAAATAGAGGCAAATTTCTTCAAAGTAAAAGATAGTGAAAGTTAGATGTTATTATACAAAATGACATTTGATATTTAGCAAAGATTTTTTTTTACCTTGGGCAGGTTTTTGTTTTTAATTGATCTTAGAGAGAGAAACATCAGCCAGTTGCCTCCTGTAGGTGCTCCAACCAGGGATCAAACCCACAACATGGGAATGTGCCCTGATGGGGAATTGAACTTACCACCTTTTGATGTATGAGATAACCCTCAACCAACTGAGCCTCACCAGCCAGGGCAATTGGGCATTTTTTTATAGAAAAGTATAGGTTAATAAATATCATAATGCATATTATTCTGGAATATAATAAAATTCAATGTCTATTTTAACAGGCCAATAGCAGGATATGCTAACCTGTGTCCAAATATGATCTCTACCCAGCCTCAGGAGTTTATTGGGATGCTGTCTACAGTGAAACATGAGATTATTCATGCCCTGGTAAATTTTCCTGTTAACTGTTCTGTGTGTGTGTGTGTGTGTGTGTGTGTGTGATTTTCTGTTTATTGTGCTTTCATTTTGATGTATATATTAACATTTAAGATTATGTAGATTCTTAGATTCATGTTCCATAAAATAGTTGATTAGGCCTTTGCCACTAGAAAATTTCTGATGATTAGCATTTGAGCTAGGTTGAATTATACTATTTAAAATAATTAAACAGTGCTCGCTTTGGCAGTACATATACTAAAATTAGAACGATACAGAGAAGATTAGCATGGCCCCTGTGCAAGGACGATGCACAAATTTGTGAAATGTTCCATATTTTTACAGGGGTGTGGGAGGTGTGGGAAGAGACTGGACAAAATTCGTACACCTATGGATGAGTACGAAGGGCAGTAAGGGCAGAGGCTGGGTTGGGAACCAGGTGGAGGGGAGCTATTGGGGTGAGAGGGAGAGGAATAACTGTAATAATCTGAACAATAAATATTTATTAAAAAAAAAAAGGTTCAGTTGGCCAAGAAATGTATCAGAAGGTATTCATACTTGCTTTAGTAGTCAGGTAATTTCAAATAAAAGTGAGACAACATTGAATGTAAAAATATCTTTGAGAGTTATGCAAATTGATTTCAATGTAGTGGTTACTTCTGGGAAGAGAGGGAGGAAAAAGCGTTAAGTAGTGAGGCTTCAGCAGTATTTACTCTGGACTGTTTTATTTCTTTAAAAAAAAACCTGAAGAAAATATGGAAAAACCAACATCTTAATCCTTTTAAAGAGGATGCATAAGTTTCTGTTAGGCTTTTGAAATTTGTCTGTGTTCTTTAATTATTTTAGAAATTATAAATCCCTACAAAATTTAAAGATTAGTTTAAATCTCAAAAACCATCCTGGAGAATGGAAAGAATTAAATGTTTAACAATTACAGGTACTCCCTGTAAAGTTAAATATGTTCATAGCTCTCAACTAAAGTCATCCATGGTGCTTTAAATACTAGATAATACTTCTGAAATATGAGTGCTTAAGAAAACTTTCTAGCCAAAACCGGTTTGGCTTAGTGGATAGAGTGTCGGTCTGTGGACTGAAAGGTCCCAGGTTCTATTCCAGTCAAGAGCGTGTACATTGGTTGCGGGCACATCCCCAATGGGGGGTGTGCAGGAGGCAGCTGATCAATGATTCTCTCTCATTGAAGTTTCTAACTCTCTATCCCTCTCCCCTCCTCTCTGTAAAAAATCAATAAAATATATATTTAAAAATCAGTGTAATACAGTATACAATTAAAAAAAAAAGAATATCTTTGTTATTGTTACCTATGGTTTCCTCACTTAATAACCTCAAGTAATTGGAATTTACAATAGAATTAAAAAATATGGACCACTTAATTGTCCAATTTCAATATAAGAAGTTCCTGTAGAAGTACTGATGCTTTTTTGTGGTTGTATCAGTGTTCTTTTTTGATAGCAGCATGTTCTGACGTCTCAAATCAGAATTGATATTTTTTTACTTTAAGACATTTCCAACTTTTTCTTACAGGGTTTCTCTGCTGGGCTATTTGCATTCTACCATGATAAAGATGGAAATCCTCTAACTTCAAGATTTGCAGATGGTCTTCCACTTTTTAATTATAGGTATTTGTTATTTTTATTCTTCTCTTTTAGGAGAGATGCTAAGAATTGAATCTGAGAATCGTAGCATGTTAAGTGCCATAAATAACAGTGATTTTTATGGCTAGCCTAAGAAAATTTATGGTTTTATGGCTAGCCATAAAACAGTGGTTTTATGGCTGGCCTATTAAAACAAAATAGGGTATAAGAGATCATTTATGATAGCTTCACATACAAAGAATTTTTTTAAATTTTATATCATTAAATTCATCTACTTTTTTCTTTATTGCATAAGAAAGTTCCTGCCCTCCAAAGATTATAAAAATATTATTCTAGCCCTGGCTGTTGTGGCTCAGTGGTTGGAGCATCATCCAGTACACCGACCAAAAGTTGCAGGTTCAAGCCCAGTCTGGGTGCCTGTGTGAGGCTACCGATTGATATTTCTGTCTTACATCAGTGTTTCTATCTCTCTCTCCCTCTCCCTGCCTCTCTCTAAAATAAAAATGTTACCCTAAATGTCTTACAGTAAATTATTATGTAAATTTTTTACATTCATAACTTTATTTGAAATTTATTTTTGCTTTACATATTTTGGTTCTTTATAATAGGAGTGGGGAATGTCTGGGCTGAGGGCTGTATAAGACCCACAGAATCATTTGGTGTGGCCCTGCCCAGGCAACACCTGGCAGTACTCAAAATTCAATAAATCTAGGAGCTTTTTTCAAGCAACATAAACTTATATTTAGTGAATTATATTAACTGAATAATGTTATAAATACCAAATGACTCTTGGCAGAAAAAAGGTTCCCCACCCTTTTTTATAAGGTACACAAGTCTTTAGTTTTTTACACTTGTTATGCCATGAATTCATAGGGAAGGGGTTCCACAGCTCAGGCTCCTTCCCACGGCTCTCCCACAGGGAGCTTCTGTGAGTGGGGCAGGCTGATGCTTCAGCTGAACCCAGTGCCTTTCTCTTTGGCTTCCCTCTTTTTCTGCTCATTTTCCTTCACACATTTCAGGAAGCTATCGAGGCTCTTAGAGTGCTTAATGTGCTCAATACGTACATTAATTCTCTTGGCAAGAATCTTGCACTTGTCTGTTCACAGCAGTGCCCACTGCATACGGGTGACACTGTAGACTTTTCCAGATTTGCCATGGTAACATTCGTGGGCCATTCCTTTTTAACAGCGCCCATTCCTTTCTTGTAGATTCACCTGTATGTGGCTAGAGGAACAACTCCATGTTTTCTAAAAATCCTAAAAAAGATATAGTGGATGGCTCTCTTTTTGTATTAGTCATTTTGGCAAATTATTGGAAGATAGCAGTCTGGCAGAAAAGAGTATATATCTATCTACCTATCTATCTATCCATCTATCTATATATATGCATCTACATATTTAATTACTACATATATAGATATAGATAAATGGATAGATAGATAGATAGATAGATAGATCTACATAGATACACACACACACACACACACACACACACACACACACACACTAGAGGCTCGGGGCACAAAATTTGAGCACTGCTGAAGGGTCCCTCAGCCGAGCCTGCGCCCTTTCACAATCTGGAACCCCTTGGGGGATGTCTGGAACTCCTCGCTCCTTACCACCCACCTGCTCACTGCTGCTTGCCACTTGGCCCACTGCTCCTTAGCGCTGCTGTGGAGGCAGGAGAGATTCCTGCCACAACTGCTGTACTTGCCAGCTGTGAGCCCAGCTCTGGCTGAGCAACACTCCCTCTGTGGGAGTGCAGTGACCACCAGAGGGCAGTTCCTGCATGGAGCATCTGCCCCCTGTGGTCAGTGGTCATCATAGCGACTGGTCATTCTGGTCGGTCCACCTTAACGTCACTTAGGCTTTTATTATATAGATGTGTATAGATATATTTTTATTTTTATTTATTTATGTTTTTAGAGTGGAAGGGAGAGGAATAGAGAGAGAGAAACATCAATGAGAAAGAACATTGATTGGCTACCTTCTGCATACCCCTCACCAGGGACCAAGTCTGCAACCCAAGCATGTTCCCTGAGCAGGAATCGAATTAGCGACCTCTTGGTGCATGGGTTGACACACTCAGCACTGAGCCACACCAGCTGGGCTATACATATATTTTTATAATTGTTATGTCTTGGTGGATTGATTCTTTCATCATTAGAAAATTTCCCTCTTTGTGTATAGAAATAATTTTTGTCTTAATGTCTATTTTGTGTAATACTAATAAAACTGTTCCAGCTCTCTTTTGAGTACTCTTTGAATGTCATGTCTTTTCAATCCTTTTATGTTCAGCCTATTTGTGTCCTTGAGTCTGAACTGTCTCTTGTAGACATATAATTGGATCATAGCTGTTGTTTTTTGTGAATTCTTCTCGTGGCTGCTCAGTTGCTTTTGCCATGTCTGGGTTTTTGGTTTTCAAACCTGCCGTAAGACAGGAGAGAGGGCATGGGAAAACACCAAAAGGCTTGCTGTTCTTACAATTCATTTTTCTTAATTCATCAGATTCATCCATTTTTAAGTGTTTCTTGATTTCTACAAGCCTTTGGTTAATTTCTAGAGTTCTTAAAACGTTGATTTGGTCAATTTTGCTACTTTTCTCATGGCTTTCACAAAGCAGAAAATTTTCAGGGGTCCTTACTCTACTATTTTTGCTGCCATCTGTCTGGAATTTATTTTTGTATATGGGACAAAATAGGGATTTAACTTTTTTTCCTAGATGAATAATCGGATTTACAGTTATTATGTAAATTATACTTTCCCACTAAATTAAAGTGCCATCTTTTTTTTGGTTTAAGTTTCTTTATATACTTGACTATGTCTCTGGACCTGCTTCCCCCCCCAATAAGTGTCTTAAAAGGAAAGAATTCATTGTCATCGTAGCCAAGAATTGCCTATGTGGACTTGAGCAAGTTACTTCATCTCTCTAAGCATCTGTGTCTTTATCTGTGCATGGTGATGACCATCTCATGATGTTGTTGAAAAGATTAAATGAGAAAATGTTATCAAGTACTTTTAGTAAGCTTGAAAATTTTAATTTTACTGATATTCATAAGCACATTTAATGTGGTCAGTTTGCAAAAGTGACTGTCTTCTTATCCTTTAACTACAGTCTTGGATTATATCAATGGAGTGATAAAGTAGTTCAAAAGGTGGAGAGATTATGGAATGTTCGAGATAACAAGATAGTTCCTCACACTGTGCATCTTCTAGTAACACCTCGTGTTGTTGTAAGTATTACTAAATTATTATCGTCTCATGAGCCATCAGCTCTTTTCCTTCATAATGGTCCTCTACTAATCATTATTATTTAAGAACTATGATTACATTTTAGAGCTTACAGTAGGAAAAAGAATAGAAAGGCAATACAATAACGCTACACGCCCAGAGAAATCCGAGAAATGGAAATTTGGCAATGACTCCTGGTTCCCCTTCCTCCCACTGCTTTAAGTCCGTGCTCATCTATTTTCATACCTCTCAGTATTACTGGCACTATTGCATAATTGCGGATCATTTAATTTGGAGTCTGTACTAGTCAGAGTTCTCCAGAGAAACAGAACCCCAGGATGTGTTGGCATGGGGGGAGGGAGAAGAAAGATTCGTTTTCAGGAATTGACTCATGTAATTGAGGAAGTTTAGAGAATCTACAATCTGAGAGGGTTGGCTGGCAGTGGCAGGCTGGAGACTCAGGGAAGAGTTGTAATTTGAATCCAAAGGCAGTCTGCTGACTGAATTCCTTCTTGGTCAGGTAAGGTCAGTCTTTGTTCTGTTAAGGCTTTTAACTGATTGGATGAGGCCCAACTATAAATTTGCTTTACTCAAAATCCACTAAGTTCAATGCTAATCTCATCCAAAAGCATCCACATAGAAATATCCAGACTAACGTTTGACCAAATATTTAAGCACTGCGGCCCAGCCAAGAGCACATAACATTAACCATCACACATGTATGTAATGACAGAAACTTATTTTCCCTCCTTGACTGAACACAGCTCTCTCTAAGAGTCTTTTGAACTTGTACACTACTCTTGGTATATTTTCCATTCTTGGAAGTCTCCAACTGAAGGACAGGCAGAACCAAATTATATTCTTAAAAACAATTTTTAAAATATATTTTTATTGATTTCAGAGAGGAAGGGAGAGGGAAAGAGAAACATCAATGATGAGAGTGAGTTGTTGATTGGCTGCCTCCTGCATGCCCCCTGCTGGGGATGTAGCCTGCAACCTGGGCATGTGCCCTTGACCAGAATTGAACCCATGATCCTTCAGTCCACAGGCGGACATTCTATCCAATGAGCCAAACCAGCTAGGGCACCAAAGTAATTCTTTAACTCTTTATTACATCTAGTGTGGTCATTTGCCATTATCCTACTGTACTTTTGTAGGGCTTATGTTTTTTTCTGGTTTTAAGGATGAAGCAAGAAAACATTTTAACTGTCCAATTCTGGAAGGAATGGAACTTGAAAATCAAGGTGGTATGGGCACTGAACTCAACCATTGGGAAAAGCGGTTATTAGAGGTAAGTTTACAATAATATTGTACTAAATCTGTTTTTTCTTTAAATTTTACTAGACATATTTTTCCTTATGGTAAAAAGACATTCAGTGTAATAGCGTATACTAGTAAAGTAAAAAAATTTTAAGTCTTTTTTGCCCTTTAGTTTTTCAGATCCACTTTCCTAAAGTAATCACTTTTTGAGTTTTTTGTATATTCTTTCAGAAGTATGAACTAACATATATACTTTTAAAAAAGTGGTTCATACATTTCTATAACTTTCTTCACTTAATGATACTTATCTTAAACATTTCTCCAAGGTAGTAAAGTGCTTCTATTGTAATGCAATGTATGCTTTCGTAGAAAAACCTCTTCCTCCAAAATTGAACACTAAAAATAACAACGCTTTTGGGAAAACAAATATTAAAGCATTAATAAAAGCAATAAGTCATAAAAAAGTGCTAGCTTGGTTTAAAAAGACATACTGTATATTTCCAATAAATAAACTATATTTACTCTGGTATTTTTTTTTAAATACATTTTATTGATTTTTTACAGAGAGGAAGAGAGAGGGATAGAGAGTTAGAAACATCGATGACAGAGAAACATCTATCAGCTGCCTCCTGCACACCCCCTACTGGGGATGTGCCCGCAACCAAGGTACATGCCCTTGACCAGAATCGAACATGGGACCTTTCAGTCCACAGGCTGACGCTCTATCCATTGAGCCAAACCAGTTTTGGCCTTGGTATTTCTTTATATTAAACAACAATAACAAAAAAGCAGTGATAGTTGGATGAGAGACTATAAATCTGAGCAATGGAAGAAAATAGTAAAATTGTACAAAGATTAGAGAGAACCATGCAATAAGCACTTTCAAATCAGAGCCCCTAGCTGTATCAAGCCATGTAGAAGTGCATGGAGTGAACAGATACCCTGCCCAGTATAGCATTTCTCTGTTACTGTGTTTAGCTGCCTTAGTGTACTTTGTATTTAGCTGCTATTGCTCCATTACACAAGCCATTAAAATCCAGAGAAAAATCATTATGAAGCAACACGATTCCTTATTATGATGATGATGTGTTCTTATTTACCAGGCTTACATGAGCTCATTCACATACAAAAAACCATGCTTTAATAGAATAATCTGTATATTGAATCTATTCATTTTTTAATAGTTACATATTATATGAACAACATTCCTATGCGAATGAATAACTTAATTTTTTTTATTTTAAGAATACTGTAATGAGCAACTTATTTAAATGTATACTGTCTTCTAGGAGTGTTGTTCTAGTGGTGGTAATTAGGTTCAACTAAATAATCAAACTAACAAGACCTAAACAGTCCATTGAAAAAACATTCATGTAGAATGGTAGAAGAAAGAAAGCACAGCATGCCACCATAGCCATGAGGCATTTCTCTAATACTCCATACAGCAGTCTAAGAGTTATCCATAGATATAACTTGCAGAACCCTGTAAGGGTCATATCCATAAAAGTCACTGCACACTGAGAAGTCCAAAATTGTGGCTTACCAACAGGTGTTCGTGTTCACTTACAGTAATCCCAAGTCCAGATGCATATCAAGTGATCTTTTTCCCTGTGTACACAGTTCACATTCCACCTTTATTAGGTTCCTAGAAACCAGAATTAGGAAGTTAACTGAAGGTCAAATTTCTTTATATAGAAAAAGAAAAGATAAATCCCTACAAGTGGAATGTCTTGCTCAAAGGAGGGATTTATATTTATATTTATATTTATATTTATATTTATATTTATATTTATATTTATATTTATATTAGTATTTATATTATAAGTGACACCAAAAGCATAAGCAACCAAAGAATAAAGATAACATGAATTTCATCAAAAATTAAAAACTTTTGTGCTTCAAAAGGCACTCTCAGAAAGTGAAAAGACAACTCACAGAACGGGAGAAAGTATTTACAAATCATTTGTCTGATAAGGGTCTATAATTCAGACTATATGAAGAACTCTTCTTTTTTTTTTTTTTTTTTAATATATCTTATTGATTTTTTTACAGAGAGGATGGGAGAGAGATAGAGAGCTAGAAACGCCAATGAGAGAGAAACATAGACCAGCTGCCTCTTGTACACCCCCTACCGGGGATGTGCCCACAACCAACGTATATGCCCCTGACCAGAATCGAACATGGGACCTTTCAGTCCGCAGACCGATGCTCTACCACTGAGCCAAACCGGTTTCGGCTGTATGAAGAACTCTTATAACTCAACAATAAAGCAGTGATTAAGCCTTGACCTATGAACCAGGAGGTCATGGTTCAATTCCCAATCAGGTCACACGCCCCAGGTTTCAGGCTCAATCCCCAGTGGGGTGCGTTCAAGAGGCAGCCAATCAATGTTTCTATCTCTCCCTTTCCCTCTCCCTCTCTGAAATCAATAAGAATACTTAAATGCTAGTGGCCCAGCGCATGAAATTTGTGCACATTAAAAGGGGATTAATTAGAGGAAATAATTTAATATTGCTATTTGCTCTCTATAATAAAAGTGTCAGAGATGAAAGAAAATTAGTAAAGTGTATATGAAAACTTTCCTCCTGTCAGTCAGTGGTGCACCTCGGAACCCAGAGTCAAATCCCTGCCCACCCATATGCACCTCAAAATCGTGTGAGACCCAGACCCTGCCGGCCCCCGCCCCCATTGGGCTAGATCAAGACCTGGCCAGTCCCACCCTTGTCAAGCCCTGCCGGGCAGGGGATGTAACCTCAGGTCCGGTTTGGCTCAGTGGATAGTGTGTCGGCCTGTGGACTCAAGGGTCCCAGGTTCGATTCCAGTCAAGGGCATGTGTCTTGGTTGCAGGCACATACTAAGTAGGGAGTGTGCAGGAGGCAGATAATCAATGTTTCTCTCTATCCCTCTTCCTTCCTCTCTGTAAAAAATAAATAAAAATTAAAAAGAAACGAAAAGACAACCTAATTTAAAAATGGGTGTAGGATTTGAAAATTATGCATATATGTATCAGGACCTGAGTTGGTGAAACTGTGAAAAGAGTAAAATTAATGCTTGTACTGACTGTTCTTATCTAGATGACCACAAAGTAAGTAATGGAAATTTACTGGAAGTGACATATATTTCTCCCATGGGAATTTCAGTTTATTTTCTTTAAGCAATTTTATGAAGTGATTCCCTTTAGAAAGCTGTAGCCGAAACCGGTTTGGCTCAATGGATAGAGCGTTGGCTTGGGGACTGAAGAAAGCTGTAGATTGGCCAGAAATGAAAGCTTACTTACTTTTCAGTAGATAATAATAGTTTTATTAATTTCATCAAATTACACCTTTCTCCGAAATCAAATTTGTGTCCTTGAACTAAGATGATATGAAAGTACTTGAGAAGACTGAAGTGTTCAAATTAAAGATTGGAAGAATAGTCAGAGCTCTCCAAAGATAGAATATGTCTTCTTAAGAGGCAGTGAAGTCCTTATTGTTAGGCAACCTACTGGTATATATTTTATTATATGAATTAAAACATTGGGTAGATTGTAGACATTGATGGTATTTTAGGTCCCTCATGCAAATCCTTTGATCCTGTGATACATGTTTTGCATATTAATGTGTATTTCTGTGATCACAAAGTTGAGGGTTATGAAAGCATTTTTGTGTAATTCAGGTAAGTATTATCTGGACACCTGTCTCAACTACCCACTTTGCCTAGGTAGTTAATATTTTTACACTATTCCTGTTTCAATGTATTTATCCTCATTTTCATCACAGAGTTCTAAATGTTGGCTGTCTACCATTCTAACAAAATTGGACACAATGTAGGCATTTGAGGCAGAAAGTAGATTTTAAGCTCCTGTCTTGTCATTTTAAACAAGACTTACGTATTTCACTATTTTAAGTGAATACTTCATGAGCCTCTCATACTTAAGGCATTTAAATATACATCAGTGTATATTTAAACATACATAATCATGGAAATTATTGCTATTGCAAGGGGTCCAGTCCTCTAATGAAAATTTGTTGGCGATTTTCAGAATGAAGCAATGACTGGTTCTCACACCCAGAACCGAGTCCTCTCTCGAATCACTCTGGCATTAATGGAGGACACTGGGTAAGACAGCTTTGAGATTATTATATGAGTTGTTTGTTGAAATGAATATTAAAATTAATGCAATTAAGCTGAATAAACGAATCAGCTTAAAATAGTGACATTTTGCATTGGAGTAAAATATTCTTAGAATTTTGTGCAGTTAGCTATCCATTACCTCTAAACTCCCTTTATTCATTCAATAAATATTTGAAGCCCTGAGATATATTATAGTAAGGAATAGAACAAAATTCCAAGTATTATGGAATTTATCTTTCAATACATAGAGGCCATGCTAACATGAAGGAAAGACTAATTTTAAAAAATTTAATTATAAGTGAAATTGGTGATGTATAGATTCTGGTTTTTAAAGCAGTGGAATTTTCTGGTAAAGCAGTAGATACTGTTTTTAAATGACTCCAGTGGGGTCTTTTTCTTTATTGGCTCCTGGGTCCTTTAGAAAAGACATGTTGGTTTTTGATAGCTCCCTTGGTTTCTGGAATGGTAGAATGTGCCAGGCTGATCCGCCAATCTTACAAAGAGCGCTGGTTCCTTTCATAGAGACAGCTTTAAGGAACCACAGCCTAGACACTGTGTGCATTGCTACTAGGTTATCATTGTTTCTAATACTTTACAGTGGACCAAGTTAGGCATTCATATACGGTATTTGAAAAGGGGAAAAAACCCACAATGACTGATGTTTTTTAGTGCCAGTATAGCTCTTTCTCGCTTATCCCTGAATAAGCAATAGCTAGCTGAAGTGGTCCTGCTGCTCTGCTTAACAGCCAACTGTTTACAGCCCTTTTATAAACAATGCTAGTTTCTTTAAGATACCAGCTGGATACAGAAGCACTGTGGAGTGAGTGAGTCACTAATGAAAAATCATGGCAGTGGTGAATTTTAAAGCATTTTTCTTTTTTTCTGAGGCAACACAACAGTAGCATGGGCTTTAGGTTTCTAAATTTCTGGCAATATTTTAAAACTAGACATGGAGCCCAGCCAGTATGGCTCAGTTGGTTGAGCATTGTCTTAAGCACCATGAGGTTGCTGGTTCCAGCTGGCATGGAGGTCATGGTTCAATTCCCGGTTAGGGTACATGCCCAGACTTTGGGCTTGATCCCCCAGTACAGGGCATGCAGGAGGCAGCCAAGCCATGTTTCTCTCTCATCTATGTTTCTATCTCTCTCCATCTCCCTTTCTTTCTCTAAAATCAATGAACCAACAAAAGAAGTATAAATTGGTTGTTACAGAATAGTCATGAGGATGTATTTAGAACATTATAATCAACTAGAGTCCCAGGGCATGAAATTCGTGCATGGGGAGGGTCTCTAGGCCTGGCCAGTGATCAGGGCTGATCAGGTTCCCCACCTCTCGGTCTCCTCCTTCCCTTGCTACCTGTGCACTGCCACTATGTGGTTTCCCCCGCCGCCTCCTTCCCTTGCTCCCTCAGCCCCACTGCTGCCACTGGTCACCCACCATGTTCTGCACTGCACATCATAGCAAGCGATGGAACTTCTGTTCTCCTGGCAGTCTGGCATCCCTTGAGGGGTCACAGATTGGAGAGGGTGCAGGCTAGGCTGAAGGACACCCCCCACCCCCATGCATGAATTTTGTGCACTGGGCCTCTAGTATGTAGATAATATTCTAATTAATATGTATGGCCCTAACCAATTTGGCTCAGTGGATAGAGTGTCCGCCTTTGGACTGAAAGGTCCCTATTCGATTCCAGTCAAGGGCATGTTCCTTGGTTGTAGGCACATCTGCAGTAGGAGGTGTACAGGAGGCAGCTGATCAATGTTTCTCTCTTGTCAGTGTTTCTAACTCTCTATATCCCTCTCCCTTCCTCTCTAAAAAAATAAGATATATATATATATTTTTTTTTAAAAAAAATAAATAACTATGAATGGTGTTAGATGGGTATGAGATTTATTGTGAGGATCAGTAAGTTATATAATGTTTAATCAGTATGGAGTGCACCTGAAACTAATATAATATTGTATGTCAACTGCAATCTATATATATAAAAGGCTAAGCGACCTGCTGACTGGCTGACCAGCTGGTAGGTATGATGTGCACTGACCATCAGGGGCAAATGCTCAATGCAGGAGCAGCTGAATGACAACAATTTTGCAGAATGCCCTTTCGCATTCTGGGACCCTTTGGGGAATATCAGAGGTTTTGGCTGATCCCCACAAGCCAGGCTGAGGGACCCCACCTGCCGGAGGGACCCCACTCACTCCACAGTCTCCCTTTGAGCCCCAGCGCTGCCCCATGTGGGCCAGCCGGGGAGGGACTGCAGGAGGTCAGATCCATGGCGTGTCTGGCCCATCTCGCCGAGTCCTGCCCCGCCGGCCACCTTCTAATTAATTTCCTTTCAATGGGCACAAATCTGTGTACTGGGCCTGTAGTTGAAAAATAAAAAAAGATTTTATTTTTATTTTTTTATTAATCTTCATTCAAGGACATTTTTCTCATTGATTTTTAGGGAAGGTGGAAGTAAGGGAAAGACAGAGAAACACTGTTGTGAGAGAAACACATAGATTGGTGGGCTCCTGCCCCAACTCTGACCTGGGCCTGGGCTGGGGAAGAGCCTTCAACTTAGGTATGCGCCCTTGACCAGAATCAAACCCAGGACCTTCAGTCCACAGGCTGATGCTGTATCCACTGAGCCAAACTGGCTAGGACCAAAAGAAAAAGATTTTTTTTTTTTTTTAAATAGAAATGCTAATAAAACTAAGCTTGTTGATTAAATTTGCCAGGAAACTAAATCAATGTGCTATGTTTGTTTGTTTTTTCTGAAATGATAACATTTTAAAAAGTATTAGACATTTTATTCATTTGTCTTTTTAAAAATATATATATTTTATTGATTTTGAACAGAGAGGAAGGGAGAAGGATAGAGAGCTAGAAACATCAATGAGAGAGAAACATCAATCAGCTGCCTCCTGCACACCTCCCACTGGGGATGTGCCCACAACCAAGATACATGCCTTTGACCGGATTCGAACCTGGGACCTTCAGTTGGCAGGGTCGATGCTCTATCCACTGAGCCAAACTGGTTTCGGCCATTTGCCTTATTTTAATGGTGTAATATTTAGTCACAAGCAGGGCCTATATGATAAAATAGCACAGTTTCAAGGCCAGAGAAGCAAGAACTCCAACTGAAGCAGATTAGGTAAAAACTAGCTACCTAACAATTCCACTGTTTTTTCCTCAATTTACTTCTCATTTTCTCTCATTCTCTTTCTGTTTCTTTGGCCCTCATTCCACTGGTCTCACACCTAAACCAGTTTCTACTCTGTGACTTCTGTCATCTTTGAAATTACAATGGAAACATGGTCTGTTAGTGTTTTTTTCCAACTCTGAACAGCCTCACCATAAAACTGAAGCCCCCAGTCCTGCTCCGGAGACCCCTGCAGCAAGGGAGGGATGGCCACCAAAGTCCCTTTTGAGGTCCTACTTTTCTCATTGTTGAGATTTGTCATGGGTATGTTGGAATTGTTTTTTAGATGACAGCAATATAAAGTGCTTTGTTTGAATTATTTCCACAGCTGGTATAAAGCTAATTATAGCATGGCTGAGAAGTTAGACTGGGGTCGAGGAATGGGCTGTGACTTTGTCAGGAAGAGCTGTAAGTTCTGGATTGATCAGCAGAAAAAAAAGTAAGAATACATTTCCTCATAATGTTTGATAGCAATTTATTTCTGATTTTGTTCTTTATCTGGAGCCTAAAGTGCTACTTTCAAAATATGATCTGAATAGTTCATATTCAAAAGGTGTAGAAAACCATTTATGGTGCTTGGTGATATAACAAATAGCTGCATATTGTTTTAAATCATAGACTTAAAGACTCTACAATGTGGGAGCCAGACCATAAAATATTTCTGTTTAGCTTATAATTCATAAATATACATTGCAAAAATTTTACATACTCTACATTTCTTACCGTTTTCTTCAGAAAATGCACTCATAAACATAGATATAGCTATTGATTCAATATTAAAAAAAACAAAAAAGTATTTTTCAATAGAGTCCTCAAATCTGGATGCTTATTATAATCACCTAGCAAACTTTTTTAAAAATACAGTCTCCAATTAGGAGGGATACACACACACACACACACACACACACACACGCATGTTTATATTTTGTGTGTGTGTGTGTGTGTGTGTGTGTGTATATATATATATATATGTGTGTGTGTGTGTGTGTGTGTGTATATATATATATATATATATATATAATTTTTTGAAGATAATTACAGGTTCATATGCAGAGATTTCATGTACATTTCATTCAGTTTCCTTGATTGGTAACATTTTACAAAGCTATAGTACAACGTCACAGCCAGGATATTGCAACTGATACGGTCAGATTCAGAACATTTGGATCATCACAAGGATCCTTCTTGTTTCACTTTTTTTTAAAAAAATATTTTATTGATTTTTAACAGAGAGAAAGGGAGAGAGATAGAGAGCTAGAAACGTCGATGAGAGAGAAACATCGACCAGCTGCCTCTTGCACACCCCCTACCGGGGATGTGCCCACAACCAATGTACATGCCCTTGACCGGAATCGAACCTGGGACCTTTCAGTCCACAGACCGACGCTCTACCATGAGCCAAACTGGCTTCGGCTTGCTTCACTTTTATAGTCATACTCAGTTCCCTCTCATGTCAGCTCCTCCTTGACTCCTAGAATCACTAATCTGTTCTCCATTTCTCTAATTTTGTCCTTTCAAGAATATTATATACATGAAATTATATTGTATGTAATGAATACATTATTCACTATATACTGTATTCATATTAATGAATGAAAAAACATTTTAATTAGTGAAAAAAATCCTTTGAGTCTTCTCTATGTTTCTTTTACAGTTTTACTAGATGCTTATCAGTTTTACCAATTTTTAAAAAAATATATATATATATTTTTTATTGATTTTAGAGAGGAACAGAGAGGGAGAGAGAGGTAAAAACAACAATGATGAGAGAGAATTATTGATTGGTTGCCTTCTGCACTGCAGGCCCCCTACTGGGGATCGACCCTGCAACCCAGGCATATGTCCTTGACTGGGATCAAACCAGGGACCCTTCAGTCTGAAGGCCGACACTCTATTCACTGAGCCAAATCGGCTAGGGAAGTTTTACCAATTTTTTAAAAGAACCAACTTTTTGTTTTATTGATGTCTTCTGTTGTTTTTGTTTTCAAATCCATTGATTTCTGCTTTTATCTTATAGCTTTTCTTCTGTTTTTTTATTTCTTCTTTCTCTGTATTGTTGATTATTAATTTGAGATGTTACATCTTTCTGATTTAGTGTTATAAATTTCCCTATCAGCATTTCTTCAACTATCTCCCACAAATTTCAATGTTTTATTTTTATTTCCATTCATGTCTTAGTCTGCTTGGGCTCCAATAACAAAATACAGAGGGGGTGGCTTAATCAGTAGAAATTTATTTTCTCATGATTCTATAGGCTGAGAAGACTGAGATCAAGGTGCCTGCTAGTTTTATTCCTGGAGAGAGTTCTCTTTCTGGTTTGCAGACAGCTGCCTTCTCACTGTGTCCTCACATGGCAGAGACAGTGCACTCTGGTCTCTCCTCTTCTTGTGAAGACACCAGTCCTATCAAATTAGGGCTCTATCCTTATGGCCCCATTTAACCATATTGCTTCCTAAAGACCCTTTCTCTGGTTATAGTCAGATTGGAGGTAAGGGCCTCTACACGCGAATTTTGTAGGACTCAGTTTAATCTGTAGCAATTAGTACAATTTTTAAAAAAGTTTCCATTCAGCCCTAGCTGGTGTGGTTCAGTTGGTAGAGCACACTATAGGATCTTGGGTTCAATTCCCAGTCAAGGGCATGTACCTGGGATGCTGGTTCGATCCCTGGCCCCAATCAGGCATGTGTGGGAGACAGCCAATCAATGTGTCTCCCTTGCATCTATGTCTCTCTCTGTCTCTCTCTCTCTCTCTCTCTCTATCTCCCTTTCCCTCCACTTACCTTTCCTGCCCCCCTACCTCCCCCCTTCTCTCCTTCCTTTCCACTCTCAATGGAAAAAGTATCCTTGGAAGAAGAGAGGATTAACAAATTAAATAATTAAACATTAAATAAATTACTTTCTCTCCAAGATTAGATTTAACAGACAACAGAGTAAGTTGTAACAATTAGGAATATTAACACAATTTTCATTTTACTCGGAAAAACAAGATTGGATTGTGAATATTGTTTTTATTTTTGTGTATTTGTGTATTCTTTTTTAAACCTCACCCAAGGGATGAGGATATTTTTTCCATTGAGCTTTTAGAGAGAGTGGAAGGGACTGGGAGGGAGGAAGGGAGGAAGGAAGAGAGAGAAAGAGAAACAGCCATGTGTTAGAGGCACTTTGATTAGTTGACTCCCGACAGGAGCTGGGATTGAACCTGCAACTGAGGTATGTGCCTTAACCGGGAATTAAACCTGTGACCCTCCCATCTGAGGGCCCGCCAGGTGTGAATGTTTTTAATTTAACAAATTGTCAAATAGGATTTTTTTTACCTAGATTGTAGCATAGAAAATATTTAATTAATTCTGCTGAAACTGGTTTGGCTCAGTGGTAGAGCGTCGGTCTGCGGACTGAAAGGTCAAGGGCATGTACGTTGGCTGTGGGCACATCCGCGGTCGGGGATGGGCAGGAGGTGGCTGGTCGATGTTTCTCTCTCATCGATGTTTCTGGCTCTCTGTCTCTCTTCCTTCCTCTCTGTAAAAAATCAATAAAATATATTTTTTTTTAAAAGAAAGAAAATATTTAATTAATTCTTTGTAGCTGCAGGACAGAGGAGATGTCATCTCCATTTGTTTCTGAGACTCCACTTGTTAATTATGAAGATGTATATTTTTGACAAGCTCTGGAATTTCATTATTTGTCATATTAAATGCAAATTGGGTCTTTAAAACTCATTTTTACTGACAAAAATGGAGAGAGATAAATAGGATTTTATTTAATAACAGTGAAATAATGTTATAATGCATCTAGCTTTAATCTTTCACATCTACATTACGCGTGCCTCTTCCCCTTTGAAAAATAAGTTTATAATTAAGTTTATAATTCGATTTAGCAATTAATTTTAAGCTATAAAAACATATTGAAATTATAGTGGAAAAGATAAGCTTATAATGGAAAAGAATAGATGTGTACTATTTTCTTTACAATTTCACACTGTGGTGTTTATCTTTATTTGCAGGAGGCAGATGCTGAGCCCTTACTGTGACACCCTCAGGAGTAATCCCTTGCAGTTAACCTGCAGACAGGACCAGAGGGCAGTTGCAGTGTGTAATTTGCAGAAGTTTCCAAAACCTTTGCCTCAAGAATACCAGGTAACACTTGTTTGGGGCACAATTTTAAGAATCACCTTTTTAAAAATAAGTTTCTATTTTGAATTAGAAGAGTAAAGCCTCTTAACTGTTTCAATTTATAAGGCCTCATTTTCTACAAGTCAGATAAAACTGAGGAATTCCTCCATTTATTTATAACTAATGTGATAATAGATAGTAATTAATATCTAGCAATTCCTTGCAGAAATAGTAAGAGGCATTTAGAATATTTATTTTGCTCTAAATATTTCTAAACTGTATATGTTTTTTTTTCTTTATAGTTGTTTCCAAAGTCTTCATCTTTAATTTCCTCTAATTTCCACACCACAAAACCCCACAAGATTCTTTAAAGAAAATAACCCAGGTACTCTAAGCCAATTCATTAGAAGGCTTGGGAGTTCTGATTTAGAGGAGGTTTGACTCAAGGGATGTAAAGGTGAAGAAAAGGGCCCCACATGATGTTCAGGCTGAATCTCTGATTTGACCTTTTAAGTTAGGGGTGTCGAACTCCATCAGAGAAGGGGCCAAAATCTAAAATCCAGCCTAAATCGCGGGCCGAATGGTTTACTGAACAGTCATAAACTGTCATTGTGATGGAAACGCAGCGGAGTGCAGTGATGACAGCGCGGTGCGGGCCACATTGCAAGGCCTGGCGGGACGGATTTGGCCCGCGGGCCTTGTGTTTGACACATGTGTTTTAAGTGATACATTGCCATGGCTATTTCTAAAACCCTCATCTCTGCCTGTCATTTTCAAAGGGAATGTTAGTCAGAAATTATATCACAGAAGCTAATTTTAAATGATTGCTGCTAAAGTTTGAGCTTTCTACATATGTTTACGACCTTTCTGATTGTTTCAGACATCATATGATGGTAACTATATTTCTAGACGTTCTATATAATTAAAGACTAATATGCAAATTGTCCGCTAAACAATTAGCCAGGAGTTCTACTGGGAGTTCAGCCAGGGGGCAGGGTCAATCCATCAACCACCCGAGGCCCCTCCCCTAAGCTGGCCCCACCCCCAAATGCATCCCCCCTTCCCCTAATCGGGACAGGCCAGACGAACTCCACCTGTGCACGAATTCATGCACTGGGCCTTTAGTAGAAGTATAATTCAACTAGAGGCCCAGTGCACAAAATTTTTTTTGCGGGGGGCACCCTCAGCCCGGCCTGTGCCTTCTCAGAGTCCGGGAGCCTTCAGGGGATGTCTGACTGCCCCAGAGGCGGGAGAGGCTCCCGCCATCGCCACTGCACTCGCCAACTGTGAGACCAGCTTCTGGCTGAGCGGCGCTCCCCCTGTGGGAACGCACTGACCGTCAGGGGGCAGCTCCTGCATTGAGTGTCTGTCCTCTGGTGGTCAGTGTGCGTCATAGAGACTGGTCATTCCACCATTCAGTCCATTTGCATATTAGCCTTTTATTATATAGGATGAGTTGGTGTAAAATGTGAAATCTTTAAGATTTATCTGGTACCTTGTTCCTTTGGTGTTCAAAGTATTATCCTATCTAATAAAGAAGGAATATGCTGGATTGGTAGAATCAACATCATCAAAATGTCCATACTTCCTAAAGCAATCTATAGGTTCAATGCACTCCCCATTAAAATACCAACGACATATTTCACCAACCTAGAAAGAACTATCCAAAAGTTCATTTGGAACAATAAAAGACCCCGAATAGCCACAGCAATCCTGAGAAAGAAGAGTAAAGTAGGAGGGATCTCAATACCATACTTCAAATTGTATTACAAAGCCACTGTTCTCAAAACAGCCTGGTACTGGCACAAGAACAGACATATAGATCAGTGGAATCGAATTGAGAACCCAGATATCAACCCAAATCACTATGCTCAATTAATATTTTACAAAGGAGGCACGAATACACAATGGAGTCAAGACAGTCTCTTCAATAAATGGTGTTGGGAAAATTGGTCAGATACATGCAAAAGAATGAAACTAGATCACCAACTTATACCATGCACAAAAATAAACTCAAAATGGATACAGAACTTAAACATAAGACGGGAAACCATAAAAATACTAGAAGCATCCACAGGCAGCAAAATCTCAGACATATGCCAAAAGAACTTCTTCACTGATACTGCCCCTAGGGCAATGGAAGCTAAAGAGAAAATAAACAAATGGGACTACATCAAAATAAAAAGCTTTTTTACGCAAAAGAAACCATCAACAAAACAACAAGAAAGCCCACTGTGTGGGAGAACATATTTGCAAATGTTACCACTATTAAGGTTTAACCTCTAACATCTACAGATAGCTTATACAACTAAATTAAAGGAAGATGAATCAACTAAAAAATGGGCAATAGAATATTCTCAAAAGAAGACAGAAGGAAGGCCAAAAGACACATGAAAACATGCTCTAAATCACTAATTATCCGAGAGATGCAAATCAAAACAACAATGCAGTACCATCTCACACCTGTCAGAATGGCCAACATCAACAAATCAACAAACGACAAGTGTTGGCGAGGTTGCGGAGAAAAAGGAACCCTCGTGCACTGCTGGTGGGAATGCAGACTGGTGCAACCACTGTGGAGAACAGTGTGGAGTTTCCTCAAAAAACTGAAAATGGAACTCTCATTTGACCCAGTAATCCCACTCCTAGGAATATATCCCAAGAAACTAAAAACACCAATCAGAAAGGATATATGCACCCCTGTGTTCATAGCAGCACAATCTACAATAGCTAGAATCTGGAAACAGCCTAGGTGCCCATCAGTAGATGATTGGATCCAAAACTATGGTATATCTACACAATGGAATACTATGCGGCCATAAAAAAGAAGGAATTCTCATCATTTGCAGCAACCTGGATGGAATTGAAGAACATCATGCTGAGTGAAATAAGCCAGTCAATGAAAGAGAAACACCACATGACCTCACTCATTTATGGATAATAAAGAACATTATAAACTCATGAACCAAAAGATAGATATAGAGAAAGTAAAGCAACAAGCAGACTGTCAAATTACAGCAGGTAGGGTAGGGAGATCTGGGGGAGATAATAGATCAACCCAAGGACTTGTATACATGCATATAAGTACAACCAATGGACATAAAACTCTGGGGGGAGTGAGGCTATGTATGGGAGGGGGGGGCAATGTTAAAATAGGTACACAGATAATTTAATTTTTAAAAAATGCTTATTTCAAACCTAAAAAAAAAAAAAGAAGGAATATACTCATTGACCCTCAAGCTGTTGAAAAGATGGTGGCACCCACAGCCAATAAGGAGGGAATATGCTAATTGACTGCCCCACCCTCAAAGATGGTGGTGCCCACAGCCACAAGATGGCGGGGCCCAATCCCCTTAACCCTGCAGGGGCAGCAGGCATGCAGCAGACTGGGCCCTCCTGCCTCCGGAGTCCCCCAGTTCTCTCAGCCGCCCATCCACTCAGGGCCGGCCCGAGGTGCAGGCAAGCCTCGGATGGTGGCTGCCCGGCTGCCCAGGGCCGGCTGAGGCTTGCACTGCCGGCAGTGGCAGCAGCAGAGGTGTGATGGGGCATCGCCTTCCCCGATCACCGGGTCGCCTCCTGCCCCTGAGGGCTCCCGGACTGTGAGGGAGGGCAGGCCGGGCTGAGGGACCCCGCCCGCTCCCGTGCATGACTTTTCATGCACTGGCCCTCTAGTATGTATATATGTGATCTCTTCCATTTTCTCACAATTTTATTTTTTCAAGAATGTCAAAACAGCATATAAATTAAATATTCTTAAGACATTTGATGTACAGTATGTGTAAAACCTTAATTCTGTGCATTTTTTTGTGTTTTGTCAACTCTTAAAAGTCTTCCGATTCATTCTTTAAAAACATATCAAATTTGTTATCTAATAAGAAACTTAACCAGTTTGCTTACCTTACTTATTTCTAAAACTAAATCTTGGGTAAAGCTTTGTCATATCCAAGTAGTATATTATCTTTGTTTACACTGTACATCAAGCATGTCAAACTCGAGGCCCATGGGCCACATGCCACATTTATTTGGCCTGTGTTAGCCTTTGAGTTTGACATGCTTGCTGTACATGAGGAAAACTACATTAATATCTTCTTTGTGTTGTACAGCATTAGAGGGTTGCTATAAATTGACTGTGGACTTTGTTTGGTTATACAGAATATTTCTTTTTCTCCTGTCTTCCTAATACTTTCTTCGTAGTACTTTGATGAACTCAGTGGAATACCTACAGAAGATTTGCCTCATTATGGTGGTTCGGTAGAAATTGCTGACTACTGCCCTTTCAGTCAGGAATTCAGTTGGCATGTAAGTGGTGAATATCAGCGCAGCTCAGATTGTAGAATATTGGAAAATCAACCAGGTTAGTAGTCTAATAAAATGAAATGTTATATACATATTACAATACAATTATATATCAGCAATGTAAAATAGTGGTTAAGAGCACAGACCCTGGAATTTGTATTGTGGTTCCACTGCTACTCATCTGTTGTAAATAATCTAACTTCTCTGTGCCTTAGTGTCGTCATCTGTAGAAAGGGGATAATAAGACTCATCTAATAGAGGTCTGGTGAGAATTAAATGAATTAATGTAGTGAGAGCTCAGAACCATCACACATAGAAAGGATTTTTAGCTAGTAGATAGATTTGTACATGTATGCATACACTGCTTTTTATTTATTTTATTTTATTTTATATATATATATTTTATTGATTTTTTACAGAGAGGAAGAGAGAGGATAGAGAGCTAGAAACATCTATGAGAGAGAATCATCTATCAGCTGCCTCTTGCACACCCCCCACTGGGGATGTGCCCGCAACCAAGGTACATGCCCTTGACCAGAATTGAACCCTTGAGTCCGCAGGCCGATGGTCTATCCAGTGAGCCAAAAACGGTTTCGGCTACACTGCTTTTTAGAAATACCTTACATCTGCATGACACTTTCATTTACAAAACACTTTATTTTTATATTTAATTTTATTCTTGTAAAAACCTGACGAGAGACATAGAGAAGATATTGAATTTCACAGGTGAATAAAAAGACACTAAGTGATCCAGTTACTTAGTGCAGGTTCCTCCAATGGAGAGCTCTTTTTAGCTAATCACATTAAGTAACCTATTTTTTCAGCTCCTGAGGAGTGTGCATTTTATGTAATTTAGAAGTAACATGCCATTCCTCAGCTATCAGAATGACATTATTATCTCATAGCTAGTAAGATGATGTCATACTATTTATTGTTTTCTTAATATACATATAAATGAACAGGTCTTCAAAGGGATAAACAGTATGGCAACTGGATATTTAACAATAATAGTTACAGCTCATACTATTCACCTCTATAAAGTGTTCTCTCATATGTTGTGTTAATAAATAGCAATGAGCCGAAACCCGTTTGGCTCAGTGGATAGAGCGTCGGTCTGCGGACTGAAAGGTCCCAGGTTCGATTCCGGTCAAGGGCATGTATGTTGGTTGCAGGCACATCCCTGATGTGGGATATGCAGGAGGCAGCTGGTCAATGTATCTCTCTCATCGATGTTTTTTTGTTTTGTTTTTTCTTCTTTTTTCAAATATATTTTATTGATTTTTCAAAGAGAGGAAGAGAAAGGGATAGAGAGTCAGAAACATCTATGAGAGAGAATCATTGATCAGCTGCCTCTTGCACACTCCCTACCGGGGATGTGCCCTCAACCAAGGTACATGCCCTAGACAGGAATCGAACCCAGGACCTTTCAGTCCGCAAGCTGACTCTCTATCCACTGAGCCAAACCAGTCTCTGCTCATCGATGTTTTTAACTCTCTATTCTTCTCGCTTCCTCTCTGTGAAAAATCAATAAAATATATTTTAAAAAAATAAAAATAAAAAATAAAATCTTTCCCATTGCTTATAAACAATCAGAAATTGTGTTTTTTTTTAATAAAAAATAATAAATAGCAATGAATAGTTTTTGTTTCTATGGTCATCAAAATTATTTTTTAAATGTATTTTTATTGACTTTCAGAGAGGAGAGGAAGGGGGAGATAGAAACATCAGTGATGAGAGGGAATCATTGATTGTCTGCCTTCTGCACATTGGACTGAGCCCGCAACTGAGGCATGTGCCCTTGACTGGAATTGAATCTGAGACCCTTAGGTCCACAGGCCAACACTCTGTCCAGTGAGCCAAACTGGCTAGGGCATCATCAAAATATTTAACCAGGTCCCCCCCCCCACCCCACTTTATTTCATACTTTATTACAAACTAAGTCATTTAAGTTTTTAATTTCTATAATGTTTTATTTTTAAACCTAGCAGATTTAATTGGGTTTTTAGTTTTGTGTGTTTTTTTAATCACTCATCTACTTAATAAATATCTAAAGATTTATGATACAACTACTCAGCAGTTGCATATAAAGCAAAAGAAATGCACAGATCTATCAGTCATGGGTTTGCTAAAAGTACCTTATCACATTTTATTGTTTTATAGGTGGAATTGGCAAACATTTATTGTAAAGAACAAGATAGTAAATATTTTAGGTGTTGTGGGATATAGTATCTGTTGCAGCTGCTCAACACTGCTGTTGTGGTGTGAAAGCAGTCATAATCTATAAATGAATGAGTGTGGATGTGTTGGCTAAAACTTTATTCATATAAACAGGTAACCTTCAGGATTTGGCCTGAGAATTATAGCTTGTTGATGCTCCTTTTATTTTATTTTAATTAATTAATTTATTTATTTATTAATTAATTAATTTATTTTTGCCATTGGTACTGTTTTTTGAGGACTTTGAAATACTCTGAAAATAAAAGAAATACAGAGTTCTATTTTACATTTTTTTCTTCATTTATATAATTAAGATTTTTCAAAACAGACATAAAATAAAATACCTTTAAAAAATTTTTATTAATTGATTTTAGAGAGAAAAAGAGAAACATAGATTTATTATTTCACTTATGCATTCACTGGTTGATTCTTATATGTCCTTGATGGGGAATCAAACTTATAACATTAACATATCAGGACAACACTCTAACTAACTGAGCTACCCCCGAGCCAGGGCGATACTTATCTATTTATTAGAGATATAGGTATAGGTATAGGTATAGGTATAGATATAGATATATAGATATATAGATATATAGGTATAGATATAGATATATTAGAGGATAGTGCACGAAATTCATGCACCAGAGTGGGGGGAGTCCCTCAGCCCAGCCTGCTCCCGGTTCCTCATTCCCCATCAGGCCATCAGTGCCTGCCGGCTTGTGGGAGGGACCAGGAGTTTGGCTGGCAGGCTCGGATCAGGCGATCACGAGGGACTGAGAGGTTGGCTAGCTGGGGCCTTCCTTTCCCCAGCTTCTGGCTGCCATCAGCCGTTCCTGTCCCCCACCTGTACCTGCCTTGGCCTGGTGCCTCCCAAGTCTACCACCAGCCACCCCCAGTTCCCTGTTCCCATCAGGTAGTCAGTGCCTGCTGGCCAGGGGAAGGGTCCAGGAGGTTGGCCTGCAGGCCCTGACAAGGCGATCGGGGTGGTCAGTGTGCATCATAGCAACAGGTCGTTCTGGTCATTTGGTCATTCTGCTGTTAACAGTCGCTTAGCCTTTTATATATATAGAGAGAGCGAGATAGAGATAGAGATATACATACACACAACTATACTAATAAAAGGGTAATATGCTAATTATATTGGATAGACTGGATGTCTTCCAGACATTCTTCTTGACAAAGCTGGGGGTGCGGTGAGCCTGCAAATCGCCTGTAGCCTCTCAACCCCCCAGTGGACCTCCACCCCAATCCAGGGTCCCCTTCAGAGTAGTCCAGCCAGCCCCCATCCATGCACCAGGCCTCTGTCCTATATAATAAAAGGGTAATTTGCAAGTTGACCCTAACAGCATAATGACTGCTGGACTGGTCACTATGAGGAGCACTGACCATCTCTTGGTCCCTCTCCCCGACCAGCAGGCTCCAATCGCCTGATGGCCACCTGTGGTGGGGTGGGGCTGGCGAGCGGGTGGGAATAGTGACCTTTCGTTCCCTTCCCCCAGCCATAAGGCACTGATCACCTGATGGCGAATGGGGAACTGGGGGTGGGTGTAGGTGGGGGGTGGGGCTGGCTGAGGCAGCTGGGGAAGATGGCCCTGATCACCGGCCAAGCCTAGGGACCACACCCACACATGAATTTTGTGCACCAGGCCTCTAGTCTATATCTATCTATCTATCTATCTATCTATCTATCTATCTATAATTTCAGAGAGGAAGGGAGAGAGAGAGAAACAGCAATGATGAGAGAGAATCATTGATCAGCTGCCTCTTGCATGCCCCCTGCTGGAGATTGAGCTTGTAACCTGGTCATGTGCCCTGACTGGGAATTGAACCATTATGATTGGGTTCATAGGTCAACACTTAACCACTGAGCCACAATGTCAGGGCAACACTTACCTTTACAATATTTTTAAATGGGCTAACTGAACTCTCTGCTTTCAAAAGATGAAACTTACTTGTATTAAGTATAAAGAGAGCAAAATATTGCTTGTGTTTAAGAGCTTCATCCTTTGCCCTATTAGCTATTTAGGGGTCATTGAGTCCACTCTGCAAGTTTGTGTTTAGTCTGAGACTAGATCAGCATGGTATTTATGAACTTCCAGGTATTATGAAAATACAAAAAGAGTCTTACAAAAGTTGCAAGACCTCCAAAAAGCTTTCATTATATAAATAGTTGCCTTCATCCTATTTTGGGCCATTTGGGAAATGACTGCTATTTAAGCCACTAATGAAGGTGATTCTTAGTGCCATTTCCTCTGTATATTTAACTTAAATACTTTAGGTCCAGTTTTATCACTTGTTTCTGCTATAATTATTTTCTCCCAGTAGTTTCTGTATTGAGAACCTAGTTTGAGTTTGGAGCCCTCTTTCTCTTGATATTTTAAATTGAAATTTTCCATTAAACATGTTTGTTTTAAAAATAACCATTAGTCATAAGGATGAAATACTTCAATTTCTTGTTCTTTGAGCCTAAGATAATTTTTTAAGAAAATTTTTCTGTTTTTCTTCAGACCTTTTTAAAAACTACGGTGCTGAAAAGTATGGACCTCATTCAGTTTGTCTAATTCAGAAATCAGCATTTGTCATGGAAAAGTGTGAAAGGAAGCTGAGTTATCCAGACTGGGGGAGTGGATGTTATCAGGTAAACTAAATGATTGTTAACAATTATACCAAATATTACATAAAACTTCATCTCCCTGTAGAGTAAAAATTTGCTACCAACAAACATTTTCAGAAACATGCTTTTACTTTGAAAATAATTCTAGGAGAGAAGTTTTGAAATATTTAAAGTGAAGTAGCATAATTGAAATTAACATGAAGTCTTTTTGGAAAACAACTTTGAAGAAGAAATAATCATTTGAAATTTTTATATCCCAAATTATATTTTATAACCAGTATTTTTAGCAAATTCTAACCTTTTCCTGCAGACGAAGGAGGCCAGTATACTTACGGATCTGATTTTTTTCCTTTCTGTTTGAAGGTTTCTTGTTCTCCACAAGGTCTAAAGGTTTGGGTCCAGAATACTTCATATTTGTGTAGTCGAGCCGGGCAGGTCCTCTTCGTTAGTATTCATATGAACGGCTGGATTCACGATGGAAACCTGCTCTGCCCCTCATGTTGGGACTTCTGTGAACTTTGTCCTCCAGAAACAGACCCTCCAGCTGCTAACCTGACCAGAGCTGTACCCCTGGGTGAGTATCTCTATGGTTGGAGTAAAGACAGAGACTTTTCTTATCAGATGTTGAAAATTCCCTTCAAGGAAGCTCTAAGCAGGTTGAGCATCTTCTCTTCTAATTTCAGTTTTACTGGAAAATCTCCTTCCCACCACTGATTTTTTTTTTTTCCCTGGCAGGAGCAATATCTATCAATTGAGTTATTTCAAAAGTGACTCCATTATTTTGTTGTGTTTTAATATGTTTTTATTGATTTTAGGGAGAGAGGAAAGAAGAGGGAGAGAAAGATAGAAACATCAGTGAGAGAGAAATACTTATAGGCTGCCTCTTGCATGTCCCCTACTGGGGATTGAGTCTGCAACCCAGGCATGTGTCCTGACTGGGAATTGAACTGGTGACCTCTTGGTCCATGGGACAGCGCTCAACACACAGAGCTACATCAGCCGGGCAATTCCATTGTTGAAATGCATTTTTGGAACTCCTCTTTTTAAATTGCCTTTAAAAGTAGCTTAATGACCATCTAAGAAAACCAAATTTAGTCATTTGCCTCACACCACTGAGTAACACTGGCCTGGCTAACGTTCAGTATTTTTGAAGGACAACAAATATTCCAGAGCTGCCATTAATGTTTTAATAGTTTGTTAAATTTTAGTGTCAATAGTAGAAAAAAAAAACAAGTAGTCCTCCATTTCCTTGGGCCAAATTGAGAATCATGAGTTAAAGGGATATGCCTGTGTTATTAGACTCCAGGTTCCATTCCTTATTCCAGCCAAGACCCTTCTACCTCATGCTCTAGGTCAGAACTTATCCAGTAGAACTTTCTGTGGTGACAGAAATGTTCTGTTATCTGCATTGCCCAACAGAGTAATAATTAGCCACATATGTCTGTTGAATGTGTGAAATGTGACTGGTGTGATTAAGGAACTAAATACTTTATTTCATTTGAGTTAATTTAAATTTAAGTAGCACATATAGCTGGTGGCTGTCATATTAGACAGTGCAATGCTAAATCAGTTTCTCAAACTTTTTTTTTTTTTAAACTTTCAGAACTTTAAATTTTTCAGGTAGCAAATCAATTACTTCGCATTTTCTCAAATCAATAATATCTCCACATTCCCAAGGATACACTTCAAACAAAAGACGCATCCAAATAGATCAACCAACCTCATCCAGACCCCACACAAGGCACTCACAGATTAACACCCCAGCGCTACAACAACTCAACACATCCAGATCTAAGCCTTCATCACTTGATTCAGCAGACCATCAAGTTCCCCCAAAAGTTTCCAGACATGTCTGAGAAGCAGCCCTGGGGCGGGGGCAGGTGAGGAGCGAGCTGTTCCGGGCCCGGCTGCTCCGGGCCTGGCCACTGTTGCTCCGGGCCTGGCCCTTGCTCCTCCGGCTGCTGCCACTCCGGGCCTGGCTGCTGCTGCTCTGGGCCTGACTGCTCCCGACCTGGCTGCTTCGGGCCCGGCTGCTCCAGGCCTGGCCACTCCCAGCCTGGCTGCTCCGGGCCTGGCTGCTCCTGACCAGGCCGCTTCCGGCCTGACTGCTCCGGGCCTGGCTGCTTCGGGCCTGGCTGCTGTTGCTCCGGGCCTGGCTGAGTTTTTCAAACTTTTGCATGCATCAGAATCAGGTTAAAACACAGGTTGCTAAGCCTCAACCCCAGAGTCTCTGATTCAGATGATCTGGGTCAGAGCCTGAGAATTTGCATTTTTAACAAGTTTGCAGATGATGCTAATGAGAAGGACTGTTCTTGGCAAAGTAGGGTCTTTGTAAGATTTAACTATTACCAACTGATTCCATTGGGAAAAATAGGAGTTTCCTCCTGTTTTACCTGCATTACATGCAGTTAAATATTTTTTTAAAATACTTATACCACACTATATAAGGTGCTCAGAAGAACAGGCTGCAGTGCCGTGATGTTATCATTTTATTCATTCTAGAGCTGAAGACTAGCCCTATTTTCCACTTGTAAGCATCAGACTTGAAGCTTAGTTGACTCTTTATTGGTCAAAATACAGGATGTGTGTCCCCCAAAAGAAGTATACATAATTTAATTGCTGAAAACTCAATTTTGAAAATATGTATTTTAATAAACACTGACTTTATAATTATTCAAAGTGTGTGTATACATTTTTTGGGGACACCGTATATTAGAAAGGACAATTTATCTCAAGATAAATTCAAGTTGGCCTGTTCTCTTTGCTGCTGTAAAAATGTTTTCCAACCCTGGCCAGGTAAGCTCAGCTGGTTAAGAGTATGTCCTGTTACACTAAGGTTGCAGGTTCAATCTCTGGCAATCTGGTCAGGGCACAATAGAAGAAATAACTAAGTGGAACAACAAACCTCTCTCTCTCACACACTTCTTTCTCTCTCTCTCTCTCTCTCTCACACACACACACACACACACACACACTCTCTCTCTCTTTCTCTCTCTCTCTCTTTCTAAAAACAACAAAATTAAAAAATTTTCCTTTGTGAGAATTATTTTGGGAAATAGTTTTAGCCATGAGAACAGCTCATGCCTAAATTAAAATGGACTTCTAGTGCCCAAATTTTTTAAAAAAATTTTTCTTTATTGATTAAGTTATTACAAACGTGTCTTCTGTTTCCAGATGAAGGCTGGATATGATAGATAGGTAGTAGTTTAGAGATTGGGGACCATATACCCTGGCTTGCCTGGGACAGTCTATATGCCTTTTGTCCTTGTATAATTGTTAATAGCGTCCCCTGTGTTTAAAAAAAAATCAAAGAGAACATTTATTTGATCTAAACAAATTTTATTTCACACTTCATGAAGCAGACAGTCTCCACTCTCAAGAGTCCAGAGAACTGCAAAATAAGGGAAAAGGATACAAGTAGGAAACAAGGAAGAAACACTCGCCTTAAGTTGATTGGCCAGAGTTGCGTATCCGATCTTGCGTTGAAAGATGACGGAACAAGGAAATAAGCAAAGCCCAGAGTGGGCTTGTTGGTTGGCAGTTGGCTGACTGGATATACTATCTTTCTGGTCACGCAGGCGGTGATCTAAGTTTCCGTTTGCTGACATGGCACCATCTTGAGATTAGCAATTTATTTCAAAACTTGTCTCAAAATATTTTTTTTTTTTTGATGACAAATTATATCAAATTACCATAATAAAGGCACAAGAAAGAAAAGAGAGTTGTTCTTCCCATGTCAGAATAGACAAGATCGTTAACTGCTGGGATACTAGCCAAAGACACGCCTTTCTCTTCTTGGGTGCTGTTTTTTAACCATGAGATGGTAGGTACATCTTCTTTTCTTCCTGCATAAACATTTTGTTCTTTTTCAAAAAATGCAAAAAAAAAATTGACTTTACATATCTAGGTTTTAGGGAGTCAGATTGATTGATTGATTGATTGAATGATTTCAGAGAGGAAGGAGTGGGAAAGAGAGATAGAAACATCAGTGATGCGAAAGAATCATTGGTCAGCTGCCTCCCGCACACCCCCTACTGGGAACCGAGCCCACAACCTGAGCATGTGCCCTGACCGGATACTGAACTGTGACCTCTTGGTCAGCGCTCAACCACTGCCACGCCAGGCGGGCAGGAAGTCATTCTTGATTCTGCTCTCCAAGGTGGCCCTTGTTCACCATTAATAATCACCTGTATTCATTCATCTGTCAGTGTTTAATTGACATAATGTATTCCAAAAATGTCTATAGAAAGTCAATTTTTGTTTTCAACCCTAGATATCTGTTCCCGTTCCTCTAGCCTTGTGGTCACCCTCTGGCTTCTGGTAGGCAATCTGTTTCCTCTGCTGGCTGGATTTCTTCTGTGTGTATGGCACTAGGAATGGAAATGTGAATTCTCAAGGCATTCTTTTGTGTCACGTTCCTCTGAACAAAGCACAAAATCTGAGCGAGTATGAGCCTGTGCAGATGGCAGAAGTGGCATTCCTGGCTTTGGCTTGAAAGCGTTGACCACAGTCAGACCTTGAAGCAGAGCTTCACAGCAACCCAATAGCCTCAGCTTGGCGAAGGAGAATGAATTCCAAGTCATCAAGACTCTTTATTGTTCAGGATGCATAACCTTCCTCACGTTTTCCTTTGAAAATGGGATATTGGTGAAATTTTCAGATTACATACCTCAGCATTCTCATTAACCTAGAATGATGGAAAAGTTCCTCAGTACTGCAGTAATAAAGAACTGCTAATGACTTCAAGATTATAAATTGTGGATCCTGAGCCCACAGGTATAAGTTATTCTTTGACTTACAGAAAGTAATTGAGTTGAGGTTTCTACATCATTGTTATACTTATTTTGAATTTAATCAGTGTACATCGCACAGTTAAGTCATTGTTCTTGTTATAAAATGTCTTTTTTTTAATTATGTTATGCTAAATGTTACGATTTAACCATGCTCGCCTTTTCAAACTAGCTGTGTGGTGGTTTACTGTGGAATCATGGTGTGTTGGTAGCCCTCTTCCAGCTGCACCTGTTACTCCCAGATCTCCGTACTCAGTTTCCTGTTGTATCCTCCATTCGTTTAATAATGACCTGAAAAACGGTAGAAGCAGAGAGAAAAGTAATGTGCTCTGTAAAAACATTGAAGATGTGCACTCAGAAAAGAATATAAATGTTTTTCTTATAATAGATATAACAGTTATAATCCAACAACAAATAGAACTATTCCTCTTTTAACAATGAAGATAAAAAGAAATCCTGGGATAGACAGGTATGCAAGTTGTCTTCACATGGGCTTACGAATTGTTTCAGAAGAACTTCTGAAAATTATTTTATATACAAGAAGAAAAATATAAGTCAAAACAAGATAATCTGAATCGCTTACTATTAGCAAAGTGTAGGTTTGGTGTATGGCCCATCCAATAGGGCTCTCTTGACTGCACCACATATGGCTCAATCCTCAGAGGTTGAAAGATAGCCTTCACTTTAAAAGGAGGTGATGCCCTTTACCTCCTGCTTTTGGCCCTTCTGTTACCACGTAGATTCTGGTCCACAGAAGCAATTCTACTCTGGAGCTTATCACCTCACTTTACTAATTACATTTTTTAATGATGAATGATCCCAGTTTTTATCTCAAAAGCTAACAAAGTCCTGTGGCATTATAAACACAGCCCTTGGACAAACATGCATGCATGCATTCACTCATTCATACATTCATTCATTCATTGGTTAGCCCTTTAATTCAGTATATAACTATCCAGCTCTCTGTGTAAGAAACTGTGCAAAGTGAGCAAGCAGCATAATTACTAAGGAGTAATTCCAGCAGATTATTTGGACCTGGGGCCAAACAGCAACCCCAGCAAAGGAAAATTGCCTTTTTTAATGCATAAATTTTAAATATGTATTTAAATGTGCATTTTTGAATTTAAAGGCATTTCATTGTGAAAGCTGGGGTCTCTAGCATATCCACCTTCAGCTAAACAGAAGCTGATAGTGAAGGTGTCAAGTCAGTGCTCTGTTTTCTGCCTGTGTCATGTATCTCTTCAGTTGTGCAACATCCGAGAAAAGTATTGAGTATATTTCTAAGAAAACCATGAAAATCTAAACTTACATTCTGATTGTGATTATGGATCATCCTGCAAAGTTGTATAAAGAATTTCACCAAAAAATTATGGACTAAGAATATATGTGAGATTTGCAATGCAACGTTTGATTATATTTTGACTGTTGTGCAGTGATGTCATTTAGGTAGTATTGTTTCTGAGCATGGTGCTTTTTATACTTGAAATATATTTTTGCTTTATTGATATAATTATATTTGCACTAATGACTTTCTGGAGAAAATATTATAGATGACATTTTTTCTACATATATTTATTAAGCTTGAAATCTGGTATCCCAGTGTTTTTTCTGCACAAATGTGAAACTTGATAAAGTATAATGTTAACAAATCTTGAGTTTCTGAGGATAACCTAATGTGCTGTTGTCTTCCTCTTCAAATCTTGAAAGTGGTTCCCTATCACTGATTCTGCATAGTTTAATCAATGAAGACTTAGAAGGCCATTGAGCCTGTAAAAAAAATTTAAGAGGCACATTTTATTCACTCAGATTATGACAATATTCTAAAAAACGAAGACTTAAAATCTGAGGTTTCAATACAGAATTAGTGGGCTAGAATGCAGCTTTGAACTGAAGAGTTTGAAATGGCTGAACTGGCAATATTCTGCAGCAGGTTATACCTTTCATATTAGCAAAACCAGTTTCCTGAGGAAGATGGAGCAGACTGCAGCCGTGGGGGGGTGGGGAGGGAAGGAGAGTGGGGAGGAGCCGATTTGGGGGTAGTAGACTGGAGTCCTTTCTGACTCAAAGTGTCAAGTGCTTACAACTCCGACTACCTCAGTTTCCGTTCAGACTTAGGTTCATTTTGATAGGATTAAGGTCCCAATTGTATCAAGTGAATTTGTCTCTCAGGTTTTCAAGAAAGAATTTACAGGAAGGAAACAAAAGCCATGTCAGTAGATTTGAGCTGACAGCGTTCAAGAAACTGGCAAGCAGTTAGGGAGTCTTCATGTCAACTCCTCTAGTATTCTCCTGAAAAACATCCTTTTCCCTTACTGATTTCTTAAGGATTCCTATTTTTTTGTTAAGATCAAATAGACATTCTAAAAAGGTTATAAACTGTGCTAAAATTAGTTTCAGCTTAATACAAATGTTGGCTTAGAGTCTATGATTATGTGAAGATGAAACATGAATTAATGAAGTTTAAGTAAGTGTAAATAAGTATATCAGAGTATTCTTGAAAATGTAATATCAATATTCTCTTCAGTGTTAGAAGAGTCACTGGTTGAAATCAACTGCAAAATGACTAGGTGCTTTCTCAGGATCTCGCCAGCTCTGCTGTCCCGTGGCTAATGCCGACCCAGAATGGCTGGGTGACTGCGGGCCTGAGCTGCCTCGGAGGGTGTGCCTGCTTGCACGCCATGTTCGTCGCAGCGTCTTGTGCTGGAAGCCATCGCACAGCCCATGGCCTTGGATTCGAGTGGAACGGGAAGAGCCTGTCCCTGCGGGCGTTTGCACAGTCCTGGCAGGAGGGGGCACTCCGTCTCAGCCCCTCGGACCCAGGCCTCGCGGGCTCCAGGCATCGTGCCGCGTGCTCGCAGCGCGGAGGACTCCCGTTAATGAAGACTGGGCTACTCATTCTGAAGAAAGAACTTACGTAAGGGATGGCTTTTTTTTTTTTTTTTTTTTTTTTCCTTAATGCATTTAGGCAGAGTTGGGGAAGGAGTGGTGAATTTTTTTCTTTTATGTTTACATTTTAAATAAGTAAAAATAGAATATTTAAAAACGAATCTTTATTTATGGTATTAAACTTTAAGTGTAATATATTCCTTAAAAAACATATTTAATAAAAATGAGAACTAAGCTATGTCTTGTCTTTAACACTTCCGGGTGGTGGTTTTGCTTTGTTTTTAAATCCTCACCTGAGGAGTGAAGATATATTTTCCATTGATTTTTAGAGAGAGTGGAAATGAGGGAGGAGGGAGAGAGAAACATCAATGTGAGAGAGACACATTGACTGGTTGCCTCCCACACACGCCCTGAGTGGGGGAGGGGTTCAAACCTGTAAACCAGGTATGTGCCCTTGACCAGAAATCAAACCTGCGACCCTGTGTTCCAGGGCTGACACTCTAACCATTGGGCACACCAGCCAGGCCAATACTCAGTTTTTAAAAACATGGATGGGAAACACAAACACAGCCAGCACTCTGCATGGAAATATGTGTTTATTATGAAGTATAGCTCAGTTTTTATTTTTATTTATTATTTTTAATTTTATTTTTTTTTAATATATTTGTATTGATTTCAGAGAGGAAGGAAGAGGGAGAGAGAGAAAGATAGAAACATCTGTGATGAGAATCATTGATCAGCTGCCTTCTGCACAAACTCATACACACACACACACGCACACACACGCACACACACACGCACACACACACACCCCACCCCCTTGGGGATCAAGCCCGCAACTCAGGCATGTGGCCTTGACCAGAACTGAACCTGGGACCCTTCAGTCCACAGGCCAACCCTCTATCCACTGAGCCAAACAGGCTAGGGCAGTTTTTATTTTAACGAGTAAAATTGTCCTACTTACAGAACGAGGACAGAATGTTATGAAAAGCTACAGGGAATAGCCCTCCTCAAATAGTTAAACAGGAAAGAGAGCAGACAATTCAGGGCAGCCACTGCCGGCTGAACATGCTCTGTCCCTTTTGCCGGCGCTGCGGGCCAGGAGCTGCACTGCCCGGCCACCCAGGCGCACTCAGGTGCCGCCCTGTGGTGGCCGCAAGAACCTGTGTCTAGTCTCCGTGTGGGGCTCTGAAAGCAGTTTGAGAGCATGTCCCGGGGGCATGCCTTCCCCGTGTGCACTCGGCCGTTCCACCAGGGCCACGGAGCCAAGCCCTTGTGAAGACTGTGTGTCCGGGTTGCTGAGCTGAAATCGTTGTGGGGAATGTTAATATTTGCCCGTGTACTGAAGGTAAATCTCATATATTACTACCTGTTTACACTGCCTCTTGATATGTCCACAAAGTACAGCTTATTTAGTAGATGTCATTACTGGTACATAGTCTTTTGTCCACAACTTCAGATTTGCTGAAATGGAGGGGTTTATTTAAATCAATTTTGTTAGTGTTCAACCAGATTTCATTATTTATTGTTTTAAAATACATTGGGCATATTTGGAGATAGTTGTCCAACTATCAACTAGATGTGATCTGATGTTCTAGTGCAGGGGTGGGGAACTTTTCTTCTGCCTAGGACCATTTGGGTAGTGATAGCATAGTTCTTGGCCATACAAAATGATCAACTTAAAAATTAGCCTGCTGTAATTCACTCACCCCTCATGCCTCGCTGGGCCAGACCAAATGATTCCGCAGGCCTTACATACAGCCCACAGACTGCATGTTCCCCACCCCTGTTCCAGTGGATGGCCAATGCCATTCCCATTGTATATGTACAGAATTAGTATGTCTTAGAGTCAATGCCACTCTAACTCTCAATACCACTAACACTCCTTTTTCATTTTAGTTTCAACAGAAACTCAACAACTTTCCATGATCTCATTTAAAAATATTCAGATCACCAAAGTAGCTTTACAGTTCTGCATATGGAAAAAGACATGCAGGTTAGGATTATTACAAAAGCTGTATTAACTCAAAAGAATGTCATGTTGCAACTGTAAACCTGTGTTTGTCCACCCCTGTGTCAATGCTTGGCTTCCTCCCCACAGAATGGGTCTCCTAACGACATGTCAAGAGGGCTGCAATCTCCATTCCTACCCCCACCTTTGCCCACATCCACCCACCCCATGGCCTCCCCTCCCCCCCACCGCACCTTCCTCTGGCCATTACTACACTGCTGTCTGTTTCTACGGGTTATGCATATATGTTCTTTGGCGAATCCCTTCATCTTCTTTCATCTAGTCCCTCCCTCCCCAGACCTCTCTGATTGCTGTTGGTCTGTTCCATGTATCTATGCCTCTGTTTCTATTTTGTTCATTAGTTTATTTTGTTCATTAGATTCCACACATGAGTGAGACCACATGGTATTTGTCTTTCTCTGACTGACCTATTTCACTTAGCATAATAATCTCTAGCTCCATCAATTATGTCACAAAAGTAAGAGTTCCTTTTTCGTGGCTGCATAGTATTCCATTGTGTAAATGTACCACAGCTTTGTTATGCACTCATCTACTGATAAGACATTTGGCCTGCTTCCAAATCTTGACTATTATAAATAATACTGCAATAATGATAGTGGTGCATATATTCTTTTGAATTAGTGTTTTGGATTTCTTAAGATAAATACCCAGAAATGGGATTGCTGGGTCATTTGGTAGTTCTATTTTTAATTTTTGAGGAATCTGCATACTCTTTTCCACAGTGGCTGCACCAATCTGCATTCCACCAACAGTGAATGAGGGTTCCCTTTTCTCCACATCTTCACCAACACTTCTTATTTGTTGATTTATTGATGCTAGCCAATCTGACAGGTGTAACGTGCTATCTCACTATAGTATTAATTTGCATTTCTCTGATGATTATTGATAGTAAGCATCATTTTGTATAAGTACTGGCCATCTGTATGACCTCTTTGAAGAAGCGTCTATTCAGGTCCTCTGTCTATTATTTTATTTTATTTATTTATTTACTTATTTATTTTTGGTGTTAAGTTGCATGAGTTCTTTATTAATTTTGGATATTATCTCCTTATCAGATGTATCACTGGTGAATATCTTCTTCCATTCCATCAGTTGTCTTTTAATTTTGTTGGTGGTTTCCTTTGCTACGCAAAACCTTTTTAGTTTGATGTTAGTCCCATTTGTTTAGTTTTTCTTTTGTTACCCTTGTCCAAGGAAACATATTCAAAAATAATACTAAGAGCAGTGTCATAGAGTTTACTACCTGTTTTTTTCTTTTAGGAGTTTTATGATTTAGGGAGTTATATTTAAGTCTTGAATCCACTCCCACCAGGAAAACATAGCTAAGTCTAAATCATCTTACATCTCTACTGTTATCCATGCCATCTTCAATACCATCTTCTTGATCCTCGAGCTCACTTCCTCACAATCACTTCTGCCCTAGTCAGTTTGGCTCAGTGGATAGAGTGTCAGCTCATGGACTGAAGGGTTCTGGGTTTGGTTCTGGACAAGATCATGTACCTCTGTTGATTGTGTTTCTTTCCCCTCCCACTCTCTCTAAAAATCAATGGAAAAATATCCTTGGGTGAGGATTAACAACAACAACAACAAATCACTTATATTTCTCCCTCTGCCTTACGCAGGCATAATGTGTACTGAGAGAAAGCTTATAACTGAACTGAGAGAAAGCTTTTAACTCTTTTTAAAAAATATATTTGATTTCAGAG